AACGAATAAAAATCTAGTGTCCAACAACTGATTCGGTCACTATAAACTGAAAGAATAAAAATAAACCAGAACGCTGTGTTTCCCAACGTCATGTAAGACTTCTTGATTTTACTATTTTTGTTCAGGAAAAATTGAAATGCTCGTATCTGTACAGAATAGAAACACTTTAAATCATACTATTCTCATTTACCTGTATTAGTTAGTTTGACACCACCTGATTTCCTGTAAGCAGAAACTGTCCCATAGTTGTCTTGTTCTAACTTGAAACTTATCAGTAGAGCATATTTTTGGTGTCACGTACAGATAACAGTAACAACTCTACTATTTAATCAGTGAGTCTTAAAATTCCGTAGTGACTTATCGCGTTACTGTATTTTTCTTGACTATAAAAGTTCATTTTATTATACAGCCATAATTACATTTGTACCAATATCAATACTACTTAGCAATAGTATTAAAATGTTTAATGTTTATCTATTTCAAGTGTATCTTTCATATGATAACTTTATCGCTTTATTCCACACCGCATTTTCGGTACAAGTATGGAATTTTCAGCATGTGATATCGGTAGCCCAAATTTTGCAGGCCGACCATTGATATCAGGTGTGCGTCGGCAGGAGACCGAACCCCGGATCACGTACATGTCGGCGAGAGTCCTAACCGTTGTGCCGCAGACGCAGTAGTCATAACAATAATTTGATCTCCTCTGGTTACAACAGTGGGTAACGTTGATTCAAATCGTTGAAAACATATCAGTTTCATATCAACTTCATACTGGTATATACCAAACACCATCTAAAATATAAGAGTTACCACTAAATTTGTATTACGTTTTTTCAGACATGTTGTTAGAATGTCAGCTCTTTCCTGCCAGTGAACCTCTTGTGTACTACTCACTAATTATTTTTGTGTTTCAGATTCCTTATGAGAGAATTCATATGATACAGGGAACACGTAAATGATACCTACGTTGTCTAAGTGTTGCGACTACCAATAAATATCTTTAATAAGTGATCTTCGGCTAATTTACTTGCATAGACCCTTATCAATTCTATATACCTCTTATCATGTGTGCAATATTGCTAAAAGTATCTGTTATCTTCCCTTTCACATATTATAACAACCAACTACTTTTTTTTAGTTAAAAGTAATACACTCACGCTAAGTTCTCATGTAACTTTGTAATTCCAATATGCATTTCACGTCTCCTAATTACGGCTACACCACACCACTTTACTCTCTAACAAGCACTGAAAGGTTTCATTGGGAGCAGACTTTAATGAAAACGTAATACTAAACAAATAACAGTTAATCACTCAGTTAATTGACCACAGTTCTCTGTCGCGTTGAGGTTAATGCCTTAAGATCATTGACACCATGCAAATGAATATATTCCGAGATTTAGAAGTGAGAACCAAAAATTTATCAGAAGCAGCAGCGAAGACCGGACATCAGGTAAACGCAGACAACGATGAAACCCAGCCAACTAGAACGAGTCTAAAGGAAGCTGTCTTTTAACTCAACTTAAAAGCATTATTTCAACTACAGGCGTCACTGATGAAATATCAAAGCCACTCAGGATCGGGAAAGCAGAACATGTAGTTTCTCTGAAATCCCTGTGGAGATCCACAGAAATCACAACAGGGAACAAGATCCAAACTCTGTTTAACACTAATGTCACATCAGTCAACGATGAGTTGGTTTTCCAATGGTGAAACAGAGGAGATCATGTGAGTAGGAAATGAAAGCTAGTGGGTAGTGATGAAATTATTCAGTTGAAAGTGATGGAGATATCTAGCAGAAGTCTTGTTTTCATTCGATACACAAAGAATGAATAATATAAGTAAATATATTATGTAAATAGTTTCCACTATATCCGTAAAGTTTTTTTCTACTACATTTCTTTTCGTACACGTACAAACTAAGACCTAAACGAAATCTTTCTACTATTCAGTTTAAAAAGAATGATATTTTCAGTCTTATACTAAATTTGCAGAAATTATGAACTCATATATTGCATAGTGCTGTAACCTTTCGATTTATTGTGATATGCATACACTAAGATTTATGCAAGTTCAAACACGAGCAAAAGTATGCGCTTTATTATAAATCTGCATGAATATGTGACACTTATTATACCTTTCAACTATTATTATTCTTTTTATTTAATTTTCAAGGTAAACATAAAACCTCTTCGGTTATTAAGACCTTTCGAAGTTTGGATTACGCGTTAAACGCATACCTCACACAACTTAACTCTAAGATCTTATCTACAATTAATTAAATTTTTACCCTTCTTAAACAGTTTCATTTGCGAATTGTCAGCATTCTCATCTTTATGCTCAGTGACTGAGAGGAGTAAAGCAATAAGAACTCTGCTAGATATTTACGACACTGTTGCAGATTGAACAAATTTTAATTTTGAAGATTCATATAACAAACAGTCTGTTAAGTGAGATAAGGCACTCATGCATGTGCTTCTTGATATGTATCCATATATATATATATATATATATATATATATATATATATATATATATATGTGTATGTTGGTCTCTCTTTCTGTTTGCTCTCTTAGTCCGTGACCATTTCACTTGTATGAACTTGTCTCCTTTAACAATTTATATTCTCCTTATATATAATATAATATGAGTGTTTGTTGACAGTCCGTTGCTTAGTGACATATATCCATATATGGTGGTTGTTGACATGTCTGCTATATTTTGCTATATATATATTTCGATCTCACAATTTGTGTGACTTACTTACCGCTTTGGTGTGATACCACTTTTGCATTCTCCTTGTGTTTGGAAATAGAAGTATCATCGCAAACCTAGTGGTCTTCTGATTTCCGCCTTCTTGCGTCAGGACTATTAGTTTCTCGACCAGTCCATAACAATAATTTAGCGACGAGTACATAACACTTCTCAACTAATCATGTGGAAGAGAATATATTAAACGTGGTCATTCTGAGCTGCTTGTAATTTAATTTATTCAAGAACGTCGATAGGTGAAAAATGGCACTGCACCACAAATACACAATTGATGCATAACTGTTGACATACATTAATTAGTTAGCCTAATTTGTGGTCAACTTAAATAAAAACTTCTAACTTTTATATCAAAGCGTCGACAGTAACCTGTAGACTGGAATTAGGCTCAGGGATTCGTATTGAAATAGTGTATCCCAAAGCATAGTTTATCACGAACCGAAACTGCATATAACCTAGGGTGGGCACTTCTGAATAATCATAATGATCACAAACTAAGATTAAGTCACTATCCAGTAACTTCTCTTATTGAAAGGCTCTCTAGGTGACATCGGTTCTTTACGCACATCAGTAAACTCCTCAAAAATCTGCAATTAAGGCTGAAGCTATATTAAGTGCTGATGATGTTTTCTACCTTGATTTTGCAGGAACATATAGAAATTGGAAATATTGTTCAAATAAACATTTCCCCTTATCATTTACCTATAAACCTTCTCTATTACTATGCCTAATTTAAACAAACACTCATCCATTCGAATCAATATGCAACCTATAATACTTCAGAATACTTTAAATGATGTATTTACACTTTTAGAATGTGTGACCTAAATTGTAAAAACAATTGTGGACGCGAATTAGTGTTACTTTGATAGCGCCTTTTGTCCATTTGTCAAAACGCCAATGAAATTATATGTAATAATTCCATTATTACGATTCTAAGACATAATTAATACAATAAATGTTCATATTTGGATGGATGAATTAACAATTAAATGGGATTAGATATTAATACAATATATATATATATATATATATATATACCAGGAACATGACAATTAAAATGAGAGAGAAATAATACATTGGTCAATACCAGTACATCCAAATGAATGGTCTCCAAGATATAAGAATAGAATTTGTGCACTGTGGTAGATTAAAATAGAATGGTCTCCTAGATAACTAATTATGACATTGAAGTCAAAATGAATATTTTTGTAGTCATTGTTGACTGTTCAACTAAAAAAGTTATCCTTTTGAGCTAATATAAGATACCTAATTGGGATTTGTTAAGGTAGAAAAAGGTTTCATTTGCATATTTCTAACGTTTTTCCATTAGAACTATCAAGAGTAATTCCAAAAATACTGTAAGAACCTGAAGTGAAAACTGGTATTTTTTCAAAATATACATCCTACAGATCGAAAACCATACCTAATCAGTATTTCAGGGATACTCAGAAAGTATCAAGACCCTTCGAAACTTAAGGGATTGTACAAACTTCTACATAACAACGTTGGAGTTAATGAAATTATTTTAAAGAGAATTTTCCAGAAAACTGTACCAAGAATTATGAATACTCAACGTCATTTTGCGAGACACTCAGTAGAAATCATGTACTGAGAATTTGCGATCACTTAAATGTTATTACTTTTAACCTGTGAATATCATTTTTCAAGAATATTGTAGTTGTAGCGAAATATGCAGATCAGGCAGTCATCTAACCTAAGTGAATTACTACTAAGTGACTGATGAAATTTTAATTGATACATCACTTCTAGAACGAAAAGATGAGTTCAGTTTTGAGTAAGCTAGTGTGAAACCTATCAAACACTAATCTAGACCTTCAAATGTGCCTGACAAACTTGTGTTCATTCCGTTAGGGGTATAATTTATTTTGATAGTCTCACAGCAGTAGTATACATTAATATTTACTGATGACGTTTCGAGCATAATTTATTGCTCATCATCATATCAAGGTGTCCAGTCAGTTACATCATCAGCACTACGCCTAGTCACTTTGTCTCAGGCACTAAAACATAGCCACGTCAAATAAATCACTAAACTACGCAACACTAGCAGAGCGCAAGTTAAGCAAGTTAAATCGCTTATGTCTCAGATGACAAATTAAAACATATTACACTAACGTAGTTATAAATACTTCAGCCAAAGTATTCGTATCACCTTACAAAAGAGAGACATTGAGAATAGCTAAAATTATATGGATTCTGTGTTGGAATAAGTAGATGAACGACAGACGAATATACATTTGTGGTTTGTAGAAAGATGATGAGTGAACGAATATATAATTCAAACTAAAACTGGATTCAATACTGCGTAGTTTCTAATAGCATGGATGGGAATAAAAAATTCACTATGAATGAATTAAATATAAAAGAGACTTCATAAGGATATATTTTACTCATACTTATATAAAGGAAACTAAAAACAACAACCTTAAGCAAAAAAGTGGAAATGAAGTTAGAATAAAATCAGACATAATGTAGAGACGAAATCGGAGTATCGTTTAGATTCAGACTAACAGTCACTAGATTATTAACTCAGAGCTCTAACAATCCAACTAGGGAATTCAGTTGGCTACAGCTTGCATTTTAATAAGATAATTTGGATTAGTGAGTGGTATAATAATGAAGAAATTTATATGCTAGGACCTCATTAATGACTGAGTTTTGTAGTACAATTGGTAGGGTATCAAGCAGTTCAACACTACCTACTTTGAGTATTCAACATATAACAGCCTCCTCCATACAATCAAGAAAACAGACAGAGATGTTTTTACAGCGTAATTACATCTGAAGAAAAGGCAGTAGAGGCGTACTATTTTCTGTATTTGAAAAGCGTTTATATAAGACTGTACATAGGTTGGCTTTCATTTTTGACGACAAATTGAAGATTACTGAGACAAGTGCTATTCATTGTTTTATTTGAAACTGTACTTCTTCGCAGTTATGACTTCCATCACAATACGGCGGTTCTGAAGTACGCTTACAAGTACAGAACCATACTTCACTTCGTCTGAAACAAAATGATAAGCACATAAAAATACCATTATTAATTAATGTCGATTCACACCAACAGTTTACAGCAACTACTACAATAACATAGAACATTCGCTTGCACCTGAGTATATAATTCACAAGCTTTTGGCTCGTCAATTTAACACGTTAACCTTAATTTCTGGCAATGTCCCGGGTGCGTATTGATGAAAATCACCAAACTAGACAGAAGCAGATGTTTGATGGTTCCAGATTATCAAGAATTCCTTAGCTGGTGTTCAACTTGAAAGCAAAAATCCAACACCTGAATGCTAAACATACAGCATACTCAGGCAAAATTGATTTCGGTGTAACTCAGTGGTTATACATTATTGGATGGTATCAGCCAATAAAATCCACAACAGTTAGCATAAACCACGTAGAAAGGTCTAGACTTCCTGGTTGGGTTCCTCGGGATAGTAAAAACCAATAGTTGAAGACAATTAGTGATATTAGATGGTTGAAGGCAATCGGCAGGAAGCCTTGGATCTAGGTTTCCTGCTAGTTGGCACTCATCAGCAAGGCGTATCTGATGGTGATATGGCACAAAATCGTTCTCAATCACAGTACAGACGCATTCACTCTTTGTGGTTGGTCATATCCAATCAAACCCTACTTATCTTCCATATTACTATTCCTTTTTCCCTTACACTTCTGTTTATTATCTCTCTTTTGAATCTGCTTACTGTTTTCTCTTGCTTTGAGTGCTACGTGAAGTGTGGGAACTCGAACTGCTGCACACCTGAGCAAAGTTCTACGTTGAATCCAGTCAGTCAGTTTCATTATTGCATTGTTTACCAAACCTGTTTTGTAGTCTTATTCATTTCGATTATAAGCTCTTTAACTTCTGTACTGAAATGACCAAATCGCAGAACCTCAAAATGATGTACTTTTTTAGTGTGTTTCGTATGCACACTGGAATGCAGGAAAATCCCAAGACGCATATCTCATGAGATAAATTGTACTCATTACTTTGTAATGCAATTCACTATCTACGACTACAAGAATGCAACTAGTGAATAAAACGACACAAATGTACACTAGTCATTCAAATTACACCAATACGTCGAAAACATGAAACTGCATTTCAAAAATACTAGAAGCACATGTGAGAAAAATTACGAGCTAACACAACAAACTCACTGTTTATAAACTAAACGAACTGGTTTGAACTCTGGCTTGTTGATTTTAAAAGCTGGGTTCGCTCCCAATATACGGATATGATGCCCATCACAGAATGGTTGACGTTTACTATGGCCACAAGAACACCACCAGTACACTTCATTAGGTTCACAAATCATATGGAATGGTCTCTTTCCTGAAAGTTTTGCCTTTTTCCTCGGATCTGTCAAGGCGACCTCTATAATATAAATAATAAATCAATTAGTATTACTGTAGTAAGTAGATTTGTTATACCAAACAAATCATTCGTGAGAAACAGGTCATAGCTGTAATTTATAATTTGTGTGATGCAGTGGTCATTAATAAGCACAGAGTAACAATAGCGAGAAAGATTGAAAAATACAAATGAGATGTTTATCAATGTAAATTGCAATCAACACTATTAAAACAGCAAATCTTGCACCCATTCCTTTATTCACAAGAGATATTCGATACTTCTTTTTTTGCTCCTAATTTGGTTCTCTTCAGAATTGAATTCCTGTCACGTATTTGTTTTCAGTAGCATTCCAGTCACATAAATTAACACCGCTTTTCCAGAAGATGACACACTGTATCTATTTCTATGAATGGAATATCACATTCAACCTCCTCATTATAAATTCGACCGGTCGTCACGCGCTCATCATTCCTGAATTTCTCTTTCTCTCACTAGAAACTCGTTTCTTGATAACAACATATCCGTTGGAATTAAGTTCGTATGCATGCGTTTGAATACAACACTTTTTATGTGCACCAAAGTTAACAAAAATTTGAGGACATTATAGATCATGTCCATTTTACAAGATGCTTCCAACTTTATTGATTTAAATGTGTAAAAGAAATAACCTGACTATGAGAACTTGAGGTTTATATTTCATTTAAAGTCAAGACACTAATCAAAAATACTGCACTTGAAGTACGACAGTAAACTGAAGGCACTGCAAAAAGCAGAATAAATACAAATTTGGAAAAAACAGTAGTTTACTATTTCGTTGCACCACTTCTTCTGCCAACCAACACTTAAGTGAGCAAAAAGTAGTGAACTGATGTCTTGCTTATTCATATTATTTAGCATCATATTCGTAGATTTCAGGTTTACCAGCAGCTATTCATGGTAAAATCGGAACAAATTCAAAGCAAGAGGACTTAAGGACCAGTAAGTGTCATGAATTCTTCCTAATTTAAAAACGTTTCTTATCACATTTCAGAAAGACTTAACAGAAGCGGGTTACCTGCAAATACCTAGATAACACATTCTATTCGGAGAGAATTCGAAGACTGCCAATTAATGGTATGGCGTATTGATTGAATACGTGGTGTCTCACTGCCACACCAAACAGTAATACTATGTTTGGTTTTTTACTGTAAGAAACTGTAACACATTACAATAAATGGATTTCTTGTGCACTGTGAAACGAATTCATAACACTCGATAAATTATTATTTCGCAAGAGTCGTTGGGTACCATCTCAGTAGCTGAATGACGAAATGCTGAAAATCCCCCAACAACGGTGAAATAGCTGTTGTGTTCTATGGTTTCCAATAGTCCTCTGATTGCTGTTCGTAAAGACTTCTACAATGATGATAATATTTTCTAAACATTCAGGCTGTCATTATACTGAATTCGAATGCGAACTTAACACGCAAAAAACTTATAAATTTAAGAAACCAGGAAAATGGACTGTAAAAATAAATATGTTACCGGAAAACTGTGTGTACTATCCTCGAGTATCCCAGGATAAAAGTCTACCAGATAAGTTACACTGAGATATTTCTACGGAAACTCATCAGTATGCTTCTTTCGTAGAATTTATGGAAAGTCAAAATGAAAAAGATATTGAAACTAACGGAAATAAGCTAAATAAGCATAGATTACATTATACATTACCTAACGAATATTTGTTAGTCGGTTGACATACTATTGAAGGGTGAAATGTGAAGCTGATTATGTAAATTATAAGATTAAATAAAGCATATTTTAAAAGGATTAACAATTCATTTATATTTACTCTAAATACCTTGAAATCGTGGAGTTTCTGGATGCGGTAGAGGTCTTCGCTCACAGTTTTCATCGAAACGCTCATGATGTGGACGATAAAGTGTACCAGGAGGTAAATAACGTCCACTACAGTGAGGTATGATAATGCATGGACGTATTTTCAGTAGATATAAAGGAATCTTATAATAATTGTTCATCGAAATATTCAATCTAAGGAAATAAAAAAATACCGAGAAGTGAGAGTTTAGGAGTATGAAAAAACCAGTGAATCAACTTAGGACTTGTAATCTCACTGTAAATAAATTTCAATTCAGCCAATAATCAAGGAATGTTTAAGTTAACAGGAAGTTTTTTTATGTAACACCTATGAAGCACACTCGTTATGTGACAGCTGAAGTAAGTGACATGGGATGAAAACCCTGGACTCATTGATTGAAAGTATTTTTCTTCACATTATTTCTCAAATAGAACGCGTAGTCTGAAAACGAGCAGTTTCGATAGTGGTGGGTATCCAAGAATTTCAATAAATTTAGACATTCTCATCGCCGACAAGGGATACACTGCTAACACTTGATGAACAGTCCTACCTTCTTAATTTCTAATGAGTTTTTACCAATGACTAACTTCACATTCAGAGTATTCTGCCAATTGACTAATAGATTAAGTCTGAATTGTCTCCACAACAATTATATCATGAATTTACTATTGTGATTACTTAACTGTTTAACAGATAATCCCTATTATGCATCACTAACTGTTATTACATCTACTAACTGTTCCTTTTATCTTGTAAACTAAACTTGTCACTGTTAACATCATTTAGGGGGAAAAATTGTTTTTCACTTAGGTATATTTATCTACAGTTTTCCTCGCCTTCTACTACTCCTTTTTTTCTATACTCTTCTACAACCTTTTTCATTTCCCCCACAGGTAACTTAGCCAATGAAGCAGAATACTTTACCACTCATCACATTAACAGTGGAAAAAATGGTTCAGCTTTGAAAAAACCAAACATAGTGTTATATACCCGTCGAGTAGTTAATAGTCCTGACGCGGAAAGAGGGAGATCAGAAGACCACTAGGTTTACGATGATACTTGTACTTTCCAGACAAGGAAAACAAATATCACACAAAAGTGTGAGTGAATAAGTACGAAATGTACGGACAAGTATGAACAAGAATCCAGTACAAAAGTATATATGAAAATGACTAATACACATGAACCAATAATTAGCCATTCTTAACATGATTGGTTGTAATGTCATGTGACAACAGGGTCATACATGTTTATTTAGTTAGTGGACAGACAAAAGCATATTGTCAGTTATAATGGAATATCGATCCATATACACAGCAAAATATAATAGACTGTCAAAAACAAACACACACATCATGTGGATACATATCACAGAGCAATCAGACCATATCAAAATGCGCCATTGTAAATATATATGTATTTATCGCGTTGCATAAAGAAGTATTACAATTACACGGACTATCTCTCCATGAAATAATAAAAATTAACAACTGCATATGTTGTATATGGCCAAAAATTAAACAACTGAAAGCAGAAATAACAACAAAAACATGATCACTGATAATAGAGAAACACAGTAATAACCAAACACACGAGGAAAGACATAAAATTGTAATATATTTAGTTCCTTTTTTATAAATAAAAATTACTAATTAACTACAATTAAGAGAAAGAGGTTCAGGAGTAGTGGGTTGGGGACCAACTCCACCAGCCAGTTGGTAAGTTAATACAGAAACTGTTGCCGCTAACCAGTCAGTTGCTTCATGTGTATAAGACTCGGCATAAACACGCACAGCATTTTCAGTGCCTGAAGGACGAACGAATGCCCGTGATATCCCAATATTACCAAAAGATTTATCCACCTGTTTAATAGCTTCATCGATAGCAACCTATGGGGAATAGTAAACAAACCGACTACTTTGTTAAATTAAAGTCAAAATATTCTATGCATTAAAAATCAGAGCAGGAGACACTGAGAAAGATACGTTGGATAGAAAAAAGAGAAAAAGGATTACAGTTGAAAACAATCAGGGCACTTAAAGTTTGTCGGATTTCGACTGAAATAATAAACAACATATAAACTGCTTTTAACCTTTTATGAATGCTGATCTGTAAATATTGGGTGCTGACAGGAATGTAAACATATGTAAAAGTTACATTTGCGATATTTGCCAAACCGAAGGTTACAATTTTTGTTTAAATACCGCCAACATTTTTAAAAGCAATTTTTTCACATCTATGATAGACATAAGAAAAATGTTTAGAGTTCTCATAACTAGACAACATTACAGGCCAAGATATAAATACCCAACGGCCGTTCTAATTGTTTGGAGCCGAACACATCAGCGGTGTACTCAGTTCGTCTCAGCTCAAAGGACTGAATCAGTTCCAACCACCCGGATTATGCCTAGCTACCTGGACGAATTGGTATCACGTTAAACTAACTTTGCAATCTGCAAGTTAATTTGCGTATATATATATATATATATATATATATATATATATATAGGTTACCAAGAAAATAACATGTCGCGATCTGAATAACTTCGGTGAAATTTCACCACTCGAACAGTGTAAACTGCATGTTGCAAATGCAATTGCTAGTGACAGCACTGTAAATGTCACTTTTATAAATAAAATTGATGCCGTAAATCATGTCATAAAAAGCTGAATCAACTAAAGTTGAAAGAATCAAGTGTAACAAAGTTATTATAACACCCAACAGTTGCGATAAAAATGTATGTGAATCATTTGAGCAATCAGTTTGAAAGTGTTTTACATTAGTTGACTTTACTGTTGACATGATAATATTCAAATAACATCATAAAATAAACATAGTAGTGTTGTGTTCAATGATATTGGAAGTATAGTTAATGTCAAGGTCACATCGATCTCATAACAGATCATTACCATTATTATTATTAAAAAAACGATTTAAATAACGACCACTCAAAAAACTCAGCCTATATGCTAAGATTTTGATTTGTATTGCATTGCCAAAATAAGTTGAATTTCCATCAATTACATGTTTGTCATGAAATGAGGATATAGGACGTGAAAGTTAAGGACAGGACCAAAGCGATGAGTAAGAAAATGGCCGCCTCGGTATGACCACATGGATTGCTGACATACCTTCATTTCCTTTAACTTTAGACGTGGCTAGTTGCTGTGCAAGTTACTGCACAGACTATCTGGCAGTAACCACGCTTTTCTGTGACAGTGATTTCAATCAGACTTTCTACCATTGCTAAATGTAATCGACGCTTTCTGACCACCAAACTTAGCGATCTCCATGAACATTCTTCTATTTTATGCGTAAGAATTTTACGCACTTTATAATACGCAACATCCTCTTCAAGAGTTACAAGCAATTAGTAGAGCCATAGTAAGGACCTCTTTCAAGTAGTCAGCCGCTTGACTCCTGATCTTCAAAAAGTCTTGTCAGGTCACTGATTTAATCCTACAACACATGAGCTGAAATCCGTCAGTGAGTAGCCAGAAATAACGAAACGAAAGCGCTTCTCTAGTTAGATGCTCGTCACACTCAGAAAATTTTTTTGCCTTACAATACACAAACGGATTTTATTGGAGATCCAATTAAGTAATGCAGTTTCGACTCAACCACTTAATACAAAACAGACACCAGCCACAGTTACAGAGCTTCCAGTTAAGAACACATGAAACGTACTGTTCTACATGAAAAGCCATTCGGACAACCTAACTAGGATCTTGTATGTATTCTCTGATATCCAGCATACTTCAAGAGCGAGGCTCCCAAGGACTATAACCAGACTCGTCTGCTATTCAATTTGGATCAGTATGCAGACGTGGTAATCTTAGAGACGAGATGAGTGTCCAAACAGATGTGTTAAATAACACACTGGAGGCTAGCTTTCTGAAAACATCCCAGTTAGAAAGTGATTTCAAACTATAACAAACAGTTGACAAGAATAAAGTTAGTAACAAACGTAACGATGATTGCGATAAGACAGGATACCTCATATATGAAAATACCGATAAAATGCAATGATAATGTATGAAATGACCAAATATTTGATCGATTAACTAAAGGGCGCGATGAATTGTTGTTCCATAATTTATTTGCAGGGTGAAATACTGTCTGGGCACCCGAAATGAAGCAGATGGATATTTTAAGGGATCAATTCTCAAGGTTTTGGCTTGAAGTCTGATGCACAAAGCAACCGAGCGAACTCAGGAGCTTCGTTAACAAGGCTGTCAGTGAGCCAAACTGGCTTACACGCTGCTTATTGCTTTTGGACTCTGGAGAACATCCGAACCATAGAGTTGGAATCACTGTCTTTCTAGGTTCGTAGGTGAACTCTCCATTTTTAACCAGCTTGGTAATGAGCGCCGAACATTCACAAATCTATGCAATTTATTTGTGAACATATACAATATAAGTTTGTCACATCACTCAACAACATTATTTTTATATCTAGATATTTTGAGGTATCGTGAGCTTACTAGTTATGCTGTTTAGCACTCGAAGAAGAAGATAACAATTTCAATGACCCACTAATAACTGAGACTCTCAGAAGTAGATCGATTTCTCTATAGCTACAAGCATATATTACAGATAAGTGCAAACAGGAACAAAACTGATTGTTTTGAATTATTTGAAGTGATTCAACCATAAATAAGGTTCACAAAACAACATTATTTGAAAAGAATAACTAACTTGTAATTCAACTGGATTTGTGATAGATTTTTCATCCCATGTAACTTTAATAGCATCACGCTTAGCAACAGTAACTTTCAACTGTTTCGATGGTAAATCTTTATACATGGCAAACCAATTAACAAGTGACCAATTCAACCAGGCCAGAGTATATTCGACTAATAGGATATCAGCTATAGCATCCCCAATTGATGTATTCGTTAAATCAACAAACGTTCGTAGTGGATTATTTACATTCAAATTTTCGACAAAGTTCAGAACTTTTGTAGAAAACAAGACTGTTCCGTGTCCATTTGCCTAGTAAGAAAAAGTTGAGAAATAAATGCTCATAAATAAATGAGATATGAAGCGACAAAATACTTTATTTTTCAGAAAAAGACATCAAATATAACGGAAATTATAAAAAAGGAAATCTAAAACTATGACACTGATAACGGAAATATGAATGTAAGTGATTATGAGGTAATTAGATTTCTAACCCGTAAAACGATCATGCCCTTAAGACATCGCATTCGGACGATAAAAAAAAATTCATGTATGGGTACAGTTATCTACAGATGTCACCGAATGATGGTTGCACTTACTATAAATTGGAATAAGTCAAAAACAAATTGTCAGATTCTAATCCGATGGTTAAAGGCAACGTGTCGACCTAAGACAAGACAAACTTGAGTTTTATTAAGAAGGAAGATATGGATGAGTACTCAACGTTCACAAAATAGGACGAATTAACTGTCCGAGGCATTTCGATTTCAACAGCTCTTTGAATCATGTTTGTAATCGACAAAAATAAGCTTATGCAAAAGCATTCCAAACACAGGATACAGCATTATTTTATTGTACAGTGGTCGAAGACACTACATCTTGCATCTGCACTCTAAGACAGATAAAAGAAAGGAAAAGGAATATAAGTAACATGAATGGGCTCTTAGAGTGCTAATGGATTGAATAAATACTGACAAGAAAAAATAAGGTGCATATCCGGTGTTGCTGAATAATACCATCTGGAGTAACTAACTAGAGATTTTCGCCATCACATGACCCTCTGGATAATCTATAGATGTACGCGACTTAAATTGATATTTATCGTCCTATCCCGATTCGACCTCCCTCTTTCAACTTATTTCTACTTTCACTGTGTAGTAGTAGTAGTAGTTGAAGTACATGATGACCGATCGTGTACAACACAAATGCCAGTCACCGAAGGCTACAGCAGTTTACAATGTTAAATGAATTACCATGTTGTCAAACTTTCACACTAATTACGTGACGATTCAACTGAAATCAAACAGATTAATGAACTCACAGAAAGTCTCCTAACCTTAACAGTCATGGTTCAAAGCCATTTAGTAGGACAGGACAAACTGCTGAACAGTTTTCCGACCCTAAGAGGGAAATCGAATAGCTTGCCAGCTCTGTGAGTTATTCAAGTTAGTGAGGGCTGTGCTCTTCAAACTTCACACCTCACCACTTCTTACCACTAATGTGAAATTCACTGTCAGTTTACATCTAAAAAACTTCGTCGTTTAGCGTGCTCTCAGCTTGTAGAAGCCTAAAAATACTAGAAACCACTGATAATTTCTTACAGTTATCTCAGAGTCAACAGACTGCTGATCACACCAAAACTAGCAAAGTTATCCTTTCCCGATAATGGCCTGTCCACTTCAAACCTAGTACATACCAACACAGTCTTGAAAAGTACGGAACTCCACAAATTCCAACATCCCTAAGCAAGCTGAGTATTACTGGTCCTCTGGTTGGTAATGTTGCGTAAAATTAATACGCTAGGTATATGAGTTACTTCATGAGGAAATCAGCTTCTCAAAAATGACTAGTATCAAAAGACTGAACCTAATATTTACCCACCCCATTCATTTTGTTGTATCTATCAAGTTTTTCTACTTTAACTCTGTAATCATCTCTAACTATCTTGGCCACCAAAACACCATTCAAAGTTGGGAAAAATAACTCTGCTAGCTATACGATGGGTCTTTCAATACCCGAATTCGGTTAATAAACCATGTGTTCAATAAGTCTCCGGCTGGAGATTTCCGTTTCACAATTGGATTAATCTAACTGCCCAAATTAAAAATTGGATACCGTTTTGTAATCTATGCTAATTACAGTTCGAACAAAGTGATCAATCAAGCTGATTGGCTTGATGCTGACAAAAAGACGCTCAAGCATAGTTATATTAACAGGTGATTTCAATGCTTACTTACGAAAACTGAGCGAGATGAGAAGACATATTAGAGGTACTATGGTGTCTCATACCGAGAAACAAACAATGTTGATCATCTCTTACAATTTTGCGCAGACAACTATATGCTCTTAACTAACACTAACTTCAAGTGATTAGAGAAGCTTTATTTAACCTAATAACGACAAACCTGAGTCTGTAGCAGTAGCTACTAAAAACGATACTGCTTTACGGTTGATTAACACTTTCATAAAAGATGAAATGGAATTTCTGAGGAAAACCTAAATATTTAAGTGCTACTACATACTCAGTGCAAACCACTTTAAAGCCATACTCTATTCAGAATGAAAAGTTACTTTAGCTACAGGGATCGAGTAGAATGTTATAAAAGTTTGGAAACACAGCGCTGCAGCTGTCAAGTGGGGGATTACTTTTATATATCATCACACAGAGACACTATTCAATTTGCAACAATCATTACAGTAATAATCCGTTGTGTCAGGAATTTTATTACTGTAATATTTCACAAACATTACAAAACAAGTGAAAAACTGATTCGTGAAGAGCGAGTTAAGTTTCGTTTAACTAGTGCCCGCATAGCTTTCTTAGTGTCCTAAAAACCTCATACAGTGGTAAGATCAGGAAACATAATATATTTGATCTTCAAAGCCTAAGCGCCGAAAGTTTTTGCTACATACACACGGTCTGTATCTGCTTTCAAACCTCAGCAGACAAAAAATTCACATATTAATGACGATAATGCAGTAGTAAGATTCCCAATCAAAAATCGGATGTCACAACGGTGTTGCTGCGATATTTTTCTGGTCAACAAAAGTCTTATTCACGGGAATTCGTTGTCTGAAGTTGTTTAAACCTGACCATTGCATTTGGTGACAACATTATCTGAGCAGCTTAAATAGCTGACAACATGAAAAAGAACAGATCGCTTCAGAAGGCTTAAGATTTACAACACGGAAAAGCAGACTTGATCAATCTATGTCGCATCATAGGCACATGACGAATACTTGAGTGGAGTTAGCCACTATTATAAGAGCATAACCCCGTAGGCAGGTTTTATGACATATTGCATATGACTAAACTCGCATAAGAACAAACAAGTTCAGCGAAGAGTTTCTTTTCGGCGAATTCATTCGAGAGCATTCGACCGACAGGTTCAATAATACCCCGACTATACGGATTGCCAAAAACTCATAAACAAGGTCTTCCACTGCGCCCTATTTTGGACATGTCGGGATCTCCGTATCATCCAATAGCGAAATGGCTAGCAGAACTCCTACAACCTGTTAGAGAACGAATTTCAAAACATTCTCTTCGAGATACTTTTGAATTCATCGATTGTATCAAAGATGTTAAAGTGGGAGACAAACGTATGATTTCACTCGACGTCGAGTCTCTCTTTACAAACGTCCCTATCACTGAGACGATTTGTTTTCTATGCAAATACTTGGAAGAAAACAACCTGAATATTGGAATACCTACCACTAAGCTAAAAGAACTCCTACTCAGATGTACCCTAAATGTCCAGTTCACATTCAATGGGAACCTCTATAGACAACAAGATGGCGTGGCGATGGGATCACCTTTGGGTCCGGTGTTGGCTGATATTTTCATGGCAAGTTTGGAAAATGGTCCGCTGAAAGCAACCATCGACAAATTCTTCTTATACAAAAGGTATGTTGATGATACTTTCGTCATCTGCGATAACAATTGTGATCAAAATATGGTTCTCCAAGTGTTCAATAGTTGCCACCCCGCCATCAAATTTACAATCGAAGTAGAAACCAAAGAGACAATCTCCTTTCTGGACGTTCGTTTAAGTAAGAAGACCGATGGTACCTTGAACAGATCAGTACACAGAAAACCTACATGGAACGGTCAGTTGACAAACTTCTACAGTTGGGTACCAATTAGTCGAAAGCGAAACTTGATAATATCTCTGGCGACTAGAATCCGAAAAATCTGCAGTCCTGAATCAATAGAAGAAGAGATCGCCCTCTTAAGAAAGACACTGCTCGAGAATGGCTACCCACCCCGTTTTATAGACAAGCATATTAAGCCTAAGACTTACAAAGAACAACCCACTACAGTGCAGAAGAAGATGGTCTACATGAATGTACCCTTCAAAGGTGACCTTCTGGCTGACACTTTGAAGAAGAGGATATCTACTGCTCTAAGAAGGACATTCTTCGCTGCAACACTACGACTGACATTTTCCTCCCGGCCATTGTTCTTCAACTACTCTAAAGATAAACTATCGCATTTGACCACTTCCATGTGTATCTACCGATTCACCTGCTCTTGCGGAGCGAGGTATATAGGTCGTTCGATGCGAGTTTTATCTAAAAGAGTTCAAGAACACTATCCCGCCTGGCTACGGAAAGGTAACAATGGAGCAATAAGGAGCGCCATTATTGAGCATGTACTCAACACTGGTCATTCGATTTGCAAGGAGAAGTCATTCAAAGTCATCTATAAAGTCAAAAGAAGCCTTCCAAAATCGACAAGCTTCCGTATACTTTGTATTGCCGAAGCCTTAGCGATTTGGATAGAAAAGCCTGAATTATGCACACAGAAGAAACTTCTCCACCCCCTCCTACTACCGTGGGTTTAATTTCAAGTTCATCTGTCATCAACATTTTGTTATCAAAATTTTTTGCAATATTCGTATAATAATTTTTAGTAACTAACCCATTCAATCTTTTCACCTATTATCTAGAAAAAAAAAAAAATTGTCTCCATACTCCTTCACGAACATCTAATCTTTCTAAACATGTCTATATTACGTAACCCTACTCACATCTTACCAATTTTCACCCCACTTAGTTACAACTTTGATTATTAATCACACATTTTAATTTCTATATTATTTTGATGACGTAACCCTACTCACATCTTACCATTCCTCACCCTACTTAGTTACAACTTTGATTACTATTCACACAATTTAATTTCTTTATTATTTTGATGATGTAACCAATAACCCACACTAACTGTTATTTTGATTTTGATTTTGACAAACCTTATGCACACACACACAAAATTAATTGTATATATTTGCGACTGTACAGCTAAGAGAATGAATTCGCCGAAAAGAGACTCTTCGCTGAACTTGTTTGTTCTTATTTCAATGTCTTAATGGGTATTTTTCGCGAATTAAACTCGCATAGTTTACTAGGTTTCGCTAGATTTCTAGCCTGTCCCAAGCCTGGAAAAAGAGAGAGCGGTGGGCATAGGGCCAGCCACCCTACACCACAAAACCAATCAAACTACTACAGAAACTCCAAAGCATATTGAAAAAAACACATTGAAAATACAAAAAGTACAAGGAACAAACTAATCTTTTCTGGAATCGGAGAGGCGAAATGACACAGGCTGGTGAATGCCATCGGGAAGCCAGTCAGACAGCCAATGTCTTGTGTCGATAAAAGCAAAATTAAGAATGGGAACGTGGAATGTTCGTACAATGTATGAAGCTGGGAAAGCTGTCCAGCTAGTCAAAGAAATCAGAAGATACTGTATAGAACTGATCGGAATTTGCGAAATCAGATGAGATGGATGTGGACTATCGGAACTGTCAACTGGTGAGTCAGTAATCTACTCCCGTCAATCAGACAACAATCACGAGCACAATGAGGCAGTGAGTGGCTATCATGATATGATCAATAGCAGCCAAAGCTCTAATGCAGTGGGAACCAATCTCCTCCTTCTTCACCTCCTCCAGGATCATGACAGCAAGATCCAACTCAAAAGGAAGGAAGGACGATCACAATTGTCCAAGGCTACACACAATACTACAAACAACGCCGGACAAGAGAAGAAGGAAAATTTCTATAGACAACTACACACAGTGATGGACAACATCCCAAATGCCGACATCAAAAACCTTACCAATGATATGAATGACAACCGAACTGAGAGCAGACAACACAGGAAGAGAACCCATCATGTATTGAGAGGCTCTCGACAGAACGGACAACAATGGAGAACTCTTCACAGACTTCTGCCCCTTCAACGATTTGGTGATCGGCGACAACGTGTTCAAACACAAGGATATACACAAGACCAGCGACATGGATTTCGCCGGACGGACACACCACAAACCAGATTGACTCCATTTCAATCTCAAAGAAGTACATATGCGGAGTCGAGGAGGGGGCCAGATGTGGGCACAGATCACTACCCAGTGCAAGGCAAAGTAGCGTAAGGTCAATCTGAAAGCCTTTAAAAACAACTGCTGACAGGCTACAATTCAGGTTCAACACTCAGAAACTGAAGGAAGAAACCATAAAAGACACGTTCCCTGCAGATATCACAGCAAAGGCAGAGACACTATGTGGCATCACTGAGGAAACCTGTGTGGGAAAAACTTCTGAACTTTCTGAAAGTGGTGTTCAAGGAACTGTGTACAACTGTTCTAGGAAGAAAGAAGAGGCAAGACAAGGAATGACTGTCAGCATATACCTGGAAGCTAATAGAGGAGAGGAGGATGGTGAAACAGAACATGACTCAATGCAAAGATGGACAACAGAAGGAGAACTGACCTCAGTGTGCAACGTACTGAATAAGGAAGTGAACAAGAGTGCTGGGAGAGACAAAAGACAATGCTACGACACACTGGCTGGCAGCAGAAGCAGAACAGGCAGGCCGCAGGTAAAAGAGACCTCAGAACACTATATCAGATAACCAGGCTTCTCGCTATCCGGAAAGAGATCAATTCAGATGACGAAACCAACAAAAGATGTTCCAGGGAACCTAATCACCAAGGAGGAGAAACAAATAAGACGATGGGCTGATGACTTTTAAGGACTCTTGGATCGACCATCACCTGCGGCTCGTCCAGAAATACACCAACAACAACAACATGCATAGAACTGCCTGCCAGTGGACACTAATCGCCCAATGAAGACAGAAATCCTGAGTGGAATCAATCTACTGAAGTCGGGTCAGGTAGGCAGCAGGCCCAAAAGTAACTCCCCCCGAAGCACTGAAAACAGACCCAGAGGCAGTCTCAGATGTGCTGACGCGATTACTGCAAAAGGTTTGGATGGAAGGAAGGTTGCCCACCGATTGGAAGAAAGGCTGGCCACTTTGTCAGGCTACCAAAGAAGGACGACTCAGGCCCCACTCTGGAAGAACTGGTGTGGAATAATGCTCTTGTCCACGCCAGGTAAAGTACCGAGTCGCGTCATCCTTAATAGAATGAAAGATGCAATGCATGCACAACTCCTACAGGCCAGAACAAGATGGATTCGGGAGTGAAAAATCATATGCAAACCGAAATGCAACTCTAAGCATCATCATTACAGAACAAGGTATAGAGTGACAGTCAAATATCTACCTCAACTTCATCGACTCTTAATAGGCCGTCGACAGCGTTGACCAAGAGGCGATCTTTGTCGGCTTCGTTCAACAGCTATATGACAATGCCACGTGCCAGTCATGTGGTCCACAACGGACAACTCAGCGAAGTCTTTGAAGTGAGTATAGGAGTAAGACAAGCTGGCTGCCTTTTATCACCGAAGGTAGTGTTAATTGTGGTGAACTGGATTATGCATCAGACTGTGCATGGGGAGTGCGAAGACAGGAATACGCTGAACTGACCGATGAGAAGACTCTAGAAGATCTGAACTTTGCGTGTAGATGATATTTGTCTGATGCCATACAAACCTGAAGACTTGTGGGCAGGCGAAAACCAACAATCTGGCTGAAGCGGCTGGCAGCAAAGACAGAACTCCGAGTGCACACAGGGAAGACAAAAGCGATGAAGATAATCAACCAACAGCAACACCAACAACAACCAGCACCAATCACCATCAACGGCAGAGATCTGACAGAGGTCGCTTCCTTCACCTATCTAGGAAGCATCGTTTCAACCACAGGCAGTCGGAATGGATGGAGATGTCAAAGCCAGCCAGAGTCGGAAGGGCAAGATACACATTCATCAACATGAAGGGTCCCAAACGAGGACGAAATATGTGTTCAGCACGACTAGGTTTTCCAATGGTTTTCTAACCGATGTCAGCTCATGATGAAGCCGCGCAACCAACCAAATCAAATCCCTTCAAACCAACACTTGTAAATGTGAAATCACTTTGGTAATCTCTCTCACTCAGTTTAAACAACAAGACTCGGATTTCCAACACAAATGTGAAGTGAGTCAGTTCTGCTATATGGGTCAGAGACTGTGCACGACACAAAAAGCATTTGCAACAGGTTGCAGATTTCTATCAACAGTTGCCTTCGCTCTAAATGGAAGATCGAATGACCAACCAGAAAGAATTAGCAACAAGAAACTATGGGAACAAACTAACCTAAGGTTCAACAAATATGTAACAGAAAATGGAGATGGATTGGGCATATGCTGAGTGGTCCGTCAAATGACATCGTGCTCAATGCAGGCCATTGCTCAAGTGGAATCCGAATAAGAAATGGAGCGTGGGTAGTCCTAGGGTGACAGCGGAGATCGTGCGGGGAGGAGATGAGAGACTTCGGGCAATTGTGTTTCGGCTGAGAAGGATCACAGGAAACAGAACAGAGTGGAGATGTGTTGTTGAAGCCCTACGTTCCACTCGGAACCCGAGGAAGCAATAATAATAAAATAAATGTATATGACTGGATCCAAACGTCATCAGAAATGGTTCGGAAATCAACCGCAATCATGATGCACCATTCTTCCTTTTACTGCCTAAAGTATTACAAAGTGATGATTATTGCCTCGAAATTAATTTGGTCAGCATTTTTCTTTAAGTATATCTATCTTCTCGTATTTATGTATTTTTTCTACCAATTCGAAAGCACATTTTTCGGTGCCTACGTTGCATGAAGGTAATAATAATGCTCAGTAACTAAGTAAAACATATGGAAAACTTTTGAGTGACGATTAAAACTGAAAGAAGAAACTAGATTACAGTGTCATTTGGAAATGAACCGAGAGACTGACTTGTTAGCAAGGTGCTTAGTTGACAATTTTAAGTCACTGTAAGAAACCTAGCGAAACTAAGGCCTTTTGTTTCATATTCAACTATCACCTCAACACCTCAGCAATTTTTTAGTTTACTTATCCTATCATATTTTTATCCTTCAGACCCCTAAAAGTATGTCTTACTCCTAATCCACTTACCAGCATTGTGTTCCAAATTGAGCAGCGTTAGGACAGAGAATCGTGCTTAATGCACTTTTTTAATAGAGGTGACCTGAATGGTTAGGCATAGTATTTTTTACTATATTGCCCATAAACGAGTCTCCAACTTTAGATGCGATTCTCTTCTTGTCTTAGGTTCTCCTTACTCTTCGTATTCCCCCATTCAACGATTATTATTGCATAACTCTTAAGTTTATATTTTACTTGACACAAACACCAGTGAACAAACTTACTTCAAAATAAATTCCGAAATCATAATTTTGTGCTGCATGATGTAAATGCTTGACACCAGTCGGTACACAGACTACTGATACGTTGAGTTGTTCAGTTAAATAACGAGTAGACGCAGAATTGGCATAAGCTGTTTGAACTACTCCAATAGTTAAATCATGTTCAGAAGAAACTGACTTTAAAACTTTGACTAGAAAATGAGCAAACAGACATGATATACGATCACCATCTAGAAGTTCAACTGATTGAGAACAAACACCTACTGGATGTAATTCATCATTACCACCTTCAAAAATCTTAGCGTCTTCTGACGACAGTGTGCAGTTGGTAAGAACTGGTCGAAAATAAATCAGTCTGTCAGCATCTCCATCAATTGTTGCCCATCGATCAGGATACATGATAGATTCTTTTTGAGGTGGAGTTAATTTTGGTGTATGCATTGTAATCTAAAAAAAATAGAGCAAATCTCAATGCCAAATATCAAGTATTTTCCCATTGCAAATCAAAGCCAATAAAGATACAGGAGAGAAAATATATTATGAAACCTGGCAAAAAATTTCATCCGTTGCACTCAGTAGTATATATTTCACAAAAAACAGTTACGATAATAATCAGAAAAAAAGAAGAGAAACAGGATTTGCAGTGAAGACCGAAAGTGTAGGATGAGACAATAGGGCAAGGATGTAACTACACCCGAACTATTGATTATAAAACCAAACAATTTAAATTCTCAATAATAGTGATACACACCGTCAGTGGTTATGAATTTGATCGAGCTGGAGAAATGTGATTTTCATTGGTTAGTATCGACAAGACTACTAAAACTGTTGTTGACGGATTCCAGATGACTTACATTGAAACACATAGCAGGGATACAGATGTTACTTGTGTTTTATTCTCATGTTGAATGTAACCTCATGCTTCAGCCATCACACCAATCTTTCCGGGCTTTTTTCTTTTATGACACTTATGCTCTTTTTGGCTGTAATAATCCGATTTCCTTATTTTCTGTTTTGTAAATTTATAGTTAATGAGCGTAGTTGTGGAGTAAGCAAAGTGGATTGGACTGTACTGAATTTTCAGAGAAGAACTTTGCACTCAAGGGCAGTAATGATTTTAGAATGTATAATGGTAATACCTACCCACTTCCACAACTGTCACTAGTGCTCTGTGATCAAAGGATGTATTTTTTTCCTTATCTTGTCATTTCATTACGCTTATCTAAACTTAGCCCAGTACCGATATGAAAAAATGTGCCATAGAAGATAATAATAATAATAATAAAAGAAAAAAGATTATGACGATAAATCAGCATATATAACAATAAATAGATGGCAAATAACCAAAATAACTGAAGTTGAACGTCCTTTAACTGCTTTACGAGACCATATATCAACATTGTGTTTTGAAGACAAAACAAGAAAAAATGAAATTTTATGCTGAACTATAGACAGATAGAGAGATTGGTCTACAGCCTGTAGTAGTGTCTCCTTTCAAGTTACCAAACCAAAAGAGAATGAAAACAAATGTGGTGAGGTGTTACAATAAAACAAACAGATGTTTTGCAATGAGAGAAAATAAGTCTTCTTGATGGAAAGTAAACACAACTGTGCCGCTGTGACTAACATGAGGTAGTATCACCAAGACCCCCAAATTTTTGACAGACTTGGAATTAACACAGACTCATTTTACCGTTCATAAAACAAAAGTCTGATATGCCGAATATAGCAATTATTTATTGAAACCAGAAAAAATAAGTTAGTGATAAATTTAAATGTTAAATAACTGGTTATCATATCTAAATGCTCATAGTAATTCATTTTATTTACCCCTTAACATGCATGATAATTACAATCGACTTTTTAAGATGGACAGTTTCAACTTCATAATGATCTTGTGCATACAAGTGACTACATGAATATCTACCTACCAGATACTAAGGTTTATCTATTCCATAAGAGATAAAGATGCCGCTTAGTATATAAGACAGGACTGAAGTTCACCGATGATTCACTATCCTACATCGTCCCAGCTAGATTGGAACAATGGTGATAGATATTGAATTAGCACATGTTAGTACAAGCTCTAGATGTCATCAGATACGATTCAGAATCAAGAATCAATCTCAATCATGCTATGCTACCCGTGTCCCTTCTATAGTCAGAAATATTACAAACTGATGCGCTCAATGAGAACTCTTGCTTCATCACTCTGTAACTTTCTCAATTGCATTTCTTTTCTTGATATACATTGCATTATTTCGTCTGAGGTAATTTTTTGGTGCCCGTTACAACCATTTTATGTTTGAATAATTAGTAGAATAATCACATGGTAGGTGTAACTCACTGCCTGCTTGAGGAATACACACGAAACATTCATTGATTTGAAGACAAACTGAAGAATAAAATACAACAGTAAACTTAAGATATAAGAATAAAACTTGTGCACTGTGGTAGAGTGTAATTCCACTATGGGTAAATTTTGATTGTGAGCAATAAATTGTGCTCGAAACGTCATCAGTAAACATCACTGTATAACACTGTGAGACTTTATCAAAACAAAATTTACCCATAATGAAGTAAACTTAGGATATTAGAAACTATAGAAGTATGCTTGTGGTACATGATAACCGTAAAAGGTATCGATGAACATGTTAATGAACATCGTACTAGTGCAAACAAATTCTCAAAATGTTAAATGTGTACACTTTAGACAAACAAAAGCTAACCTTTACAAAATCTGCTCCACAATTTTTATTTAAGAGTTCATATTTCTTCATTTCCTTATTGTATAAATGTAAAATTAATCTACGTGAACTTTCAACAGAAGAAAAATATGTCTTGAAATTTTCCAATACTTTATATCCAACACCATGTGCACAATCAACATTTAAATGTATCGATTCAGTACAACTTTGAAGATTCTCTAAAGCTGCAGTGAAACGTTCAGCAAACTGATCAACATAAATAGTTTGCAAATCAGGCAGTTGGTTTGTGCCAATAATATTATTTGTATTCTAAGGTAAAGAAATAAGGAATACAGAAATGATACAATCAAATAAATCTCATCGAACATATGATAACTGAATTCTTTTTACTTTAATTTTGCACCTAACATTGGTTAATTATGTTGAATCAAAACACCTAGTCTCTGTGAATATATATCGGCTCCTAGTATGGACGCTCGATGTCTTAGGATTAACATGAAGTTATGTTAGCTGGCCTAGCAGATTAGCAGAGAAATCCAGGATGCAAACTTCATCTTATGTTGGACCTATTAACCGGACGTAGCTGCATGCCCAGAGAATGATGGTGTGCCCGATGAAACTGGAACTCTGTAACCACAGTTACAAACGCAAAAGCTTTATCCACTGGGTCACGACGGAAACCATCACTCACTGGGAATGCAGGTACATTCAAATGGTGAGTCCTGAATGGGGAAAATGCTCATTCTAGATTCGACCTCCAGTCACCACCAACCACAATAGGCCAAATGACTAGTCGCTGAGATACACGTTAATAAAGTAGCTTAATATTCCATATTTTCAAAGTAATATATACATATACACATATATAGCGCGCCAAACTTCTAGGCAATATGCCAAATTTTAATCCCAGAAATTCCCAATGACCTTAATTTTTCAGCAACTTAGTCAATGGGATTCTATTTCTGTTAATTAGTCAATCAATTAAAAAAATTAAGAAAGCAGTTGTACCAGATATTATGGTTCAGTCTGAAATAAACTACTAGTTTGAGAAGCTGTAAAATATGTCAACGTATAAGAAATTCAGTTACACGCTTAAAACAAGGTTTTTAGGCAATTTATTTTTGGTCCATGTTAGTTGAATATCACAGAGCTCTCCTTTCCACTAACAAGATGAGAGTGTACTAGGTATTGACTAGTACAGATAGAATATCAAGCAATACATTTGCTTATTCCATTATCACTGATGCCCCCAGCTATATCACATATGGCTTTTAGCCAGTAAGTCTTTAGTTTGAATCATACTGCAACCTACTTCAACCAGACCAACTGGGTAGTATCGTCAGTCCTTACAAAACAACTGTGTGGCTCATAGCCTGATCCTGATAACTGAGTCCAAATACCTTTTAACACCACAAAACAGTCATGGTAAGCTGACAGTGAGTAATCACATATTCAAGATTTTTAAGAAACATCAGTCAGATTAGTGTATTTACGTGTCTCCCGAAAGAAAAAAGATTGATAGTTACGATGAAAATTCACTCAAATACATGAATTTGCCCATAATGTAAAATAAAGCTAGTAACTATTAGCTATTTATCAACAAAAAGAACTGTGATATTACCTTTTTCCCATCTAAATGAATAAAACACTAAGCCAAAGACAACTTTTACTGTTCGGTTTTGGATCAGCTGAAGACCGTCTTTTAAAGGCCGTTTAGAATTGTAAGATGTTTACTGACAGTTGCTCCTACAATATTAGGATATCATAAGTAATTTGGCATTTGAGGATTCGCTTTAGAAACTTATGCTTGTTACCTCACAACACTAAGCAACTAGCACAGCATTAATTACATTTAACGTAACTAATTTTCTCAATCCTTGATTAAAGGTTTTAAATTTGACTTATTAAGGTAATCCATCAATATTACTGATGAAAATCTCCAGGTTAAAATGAAAACGGTATTCCGTGTGATGGATTTTTAAGACAATCTACATACACATTCAGGATAATTAGATTTGAATATTTGGGGTTTCCGCAAAACACACTGGTCAAAATAGCAGACATTTATATAACTCGCCTGCATAGCCCCATTTCATCTAAAGGCGGCACGAATCAGGATGTTAGAGTAAGTCAAGGTCGGAAAAGCAAGACACACAAGCGTTTATTACTGTGAAATCAATGTGGAGATCTACAGCACTCAACACTGCGAACAAGATCTGAATTATGTTCAACACTAGTGTTAATCCAGTTCAGAACTTGCCGCGCGAGTCACCACAAGTCTGCTGCGGACATTCGTCAACAGATGCCTTTACTGTCTTGGTACTGAAGATCAGATAGCCAGCTGAGATGGATAAACAACAGGGGACCCCGATAGACAACGAACTAACCAATAACCTACTTCCCATTAGACAACCAGAAGGAAATACAGATAGATTGAGGAGACTGCTGAGCAACATTACATGTCTGATCCTCGAGTGGAAGCCCAGTGGGCAGAGACATATTGGAAGTCCAATGGTGGCATGGTGGCGATTACGTGAGGATATGAAGGCTTGAGGTCAGTCACGGAATCAATCAGCTGAAAGTGATTGCACAGAGCCCAGCAGGATGGAGATGTGCTGCTTCCGATTAGAATACAAGCAATGAATGAATGAATAATAATAATAATAATGGTAACATGTATAACGCATTTGATGAAAGGCTCTCGAAGGATTCTTCCATTTCGCAACTCGGATTTTAGTATATGCACTGGTAAATAAATTATTTTCATGCTTAACTGTTACTACACTACAGCAAAGCTGGAGAGCAACTTGATCGAAAACGTATTGAATACAGCACTAGAAACTTATGCCCATAAGGATGGTGAATTTGTATAGAATAACAGATAATTAAACCGTTTCAGCGAAACAGTATAATTCATAGTGAACCCATTGGAAAGTAATAACTACTGATAAATAAAATAATACTGGCAGTGCCTAGCAAATGCAAGTTTTACATTGTAATTATATTTCGATCAGATATGGGAACTATTCTGTTGGTTAACTAACTAGTTCCAATGTATACTACATGACGGGTTGCAATCAGAATATCACAGTAAGCATTTTTCACAAAACATAGACGAAAAAAGTCTTAAATCTGAAAGGAGGACGTGAATGTCTTGCTCATAAGTAGGAATACACACGAGACTTAGCTTGAAAAAGATTCCAAACCAATGGTTTGTACCCATATCCCATATCAACCCAGGGACACACGCCACTAGCGCCGAGTCACTCGGGTTATGCTGAATTTGTAGCTTAAAAGCATATTGTCTTTTTTTAGATCATGTTTTTGTAGTTTCAGTAAAAAAAAATACTATCTTTAGTAACTTACAATATATTGGACAAAATAATGAAGCTGAGGTGTAGTTACTAGACCAATTTCATGACAAACACCATGCATCATATCGATGCCTTGTTTAGCTTCGACTGCTAACGCCGGCGAGCTCTCACGAGTATCATATCCCAAAACAATATGAGGCGATTGATTGTCTGTTAATAGGTAACAAATAAATTGCATGTTACACTGAGGAAATGATCTGATTAAATGTTTTTTGAAAGTATATTAACATGCGGTTATTTTCAAAGATAAAAAGAACTAATAGTCTGCAAACAAAATGGAACTAACATTCTTGTTCAGTAAAGCGTAAATAGAGAATCTACACGTCTGTATTTGCATTAGGAACCACACTTATCTGCTGAATTTGTATTTCAGGTCTTCACCTTTCATTAAACGGCTCATAATCAACACGCAGATGCGCTTTAAGTATTGTGGGTAGTCAGAGAAAAACTAAAATAAATTAATCCGTTAAGTTGGTTTCACTGTTCTCTTATGTTCCATAATAGACACATCTGTTTTTATTTAAGCTTACTTGCAGAAGCAGTCGCTCAAGGAACTCCTTCAGAAGCAATCAGACTGACATTAAAATCAACGTAAAACTTCGTGAAATAATGTATCAATTGAATTTACAATACAAAGAGGAAAAGAACAGAGAGTTCATCATACTATGATGGAAAGACATGAGTGCTAGAAAAAAGATTAGTAATTAATGGAAGTTATGGACGCCTTACTCTATTTCTAACGTCAGTTACTACCTTTTCAGTCTCACCTCACACGGGCAGTCAAATAAAGTCGAAATTCCTCTGAAGCGCAGCCAAGAAAATAACATACCTTTCGACTTATGGGCGCGAATGTGAACTTCATGCAGCATACCTGCAGTGATGTTCTGAAATTAATCTTAACGAATAAGAATATATTATTCTACTATAATTCATTAGTTAATTTTGTTATCAATATAGATATATCCTCCCGTTTTTATAGTACGCTACTTTTTTCAATTTCTATTATCCCTCTCTTGTTCTCCTTCCGAATGGCAGTCCGGTTAACCCATCGTATAAATTAAGCCCAGCTATATTTCATGAATTTGCTTTGTTCCGTCTTTTTACGATAAAACGAAATTCATTAGGAATGCAATAAGACCACATAGGTCACTGTTACAGAGTAAAAACATAGAATTTGCAAATCATGAGGCAGGGTAGGGACACTAGTTACACATGGTCATAATGACGGCAAGCTGTATTCTGATTCTATTAGTATTTTCAGTGATCAAATCGTAAATTAACAGAATATGAGGAGGTTGGAAATAGCTAATCGTGGGAAGCGAAGGCTGCCGATTGTTTTTGCCGTTTCATTATAGGAAACATTCCTAAAGTTTAAGTGATATTCTTCAAGAAACATCTTGGAAGACAACATATAATGTGTGAAAAACATCCATCCTTGCAAAGCTAACAGAAAGTAACTATGCATCGATTATTGAAAACAAAGGTACGATGAACCCTTTTTAGATGAGTGATCGGCAGACAGAGCGTCACAAAATACACCTAACATAGCAGTTCCATGTTTTTATCGACCACCTTGATTAATAAAACCTGTCTGAATACCATTCTGGGTAACTGGACGAAGTAGATTTTGAGACGCACAAATTTAGGACAGCGTAGGGCAACATTTTAACATGATGAAAGCAGTTCCCATAGGCGTCAGATTAAAATCTAACATTTTGCTTACTGTCAAAGATTGGTTGCACTCAACACGATTTTAAAGAGCGAAAAATGACTGGTAAAAATATTTAGAGCCCTAGTGTAAGTACAAATTAATTGACAGGATTTGTAAAATTTTCTTAACAATCTTTAGAAAGATTTACAAATTATTAATATACAAATGTTATATAAAGTGGGAAATACCTTCTGTACATAAAGAGTGCTCCGATAACCATTCGGAGACAGAATTTTCAGGGCAACGCATGAAATCAACAACAATTGGCTCCCACTCAGTATCCAACATACCACCGTCCGGATCGACTAATTTTATTCCATTATCACACGGTGGGTTGTGAGAAGCAGTTATCATTATACCCATCGCTCTACAATGCTAAATGGGTTAGTCAACAAAGATATTAGTACCAAGTTCACAGATCTGAGACAAGCCAGTATTCCTAGTCGTATTGCTACACCACTTAGCTTATGAGCCGGCAAGCGAAAACCAGCTGTACCATAAGACAGCGATGATAAATCAGTGATTTTGAAACCGCAAAGATGGGTTTCAACTTCTTTAAAGCGATCGCTTAATGTCATTTATGTAGAATTATTCTGCAAATAAAAATACTGAAAGCGTTTGTGTCAGTTATACATAGGAAGCACTACTCAAAAGAAAGGTACATAGTACGAAACAATAAGACAACAGTATGTTTAACTGTAGCCTGTATGAAGATGAAACATGCTATTACATGAAATACAGACCATATAAGAAAATCTCAAGACTGGTGTTAATCGAACACACAAAATATAATGCAAAATAAAAGACAACGTACGTTACACTAGAAAAAGCCAAAATATTACCCCTAGCAACAGTACAAAGCCCAGACTACAAATGACTTACTAAATATTTATCTTGAAATCCCATCCTAAATGGTAATAAATGGCTTCGGTAAACACTGTTAGAAAGTAAATCAGGTTGTGGATGTGCTCGGGTGATTTCTGGATATTTATTCATCTACTGAATTACAAATATCCCCGAAGAAAACACTTATTAACCACTGTATTCAAAAAGGCTTCTTTCAAAATTCATAGAAGGTAAGTTCACAAATACAAAAATTGTTGTTTTCTAAACACCACTCCCATATTTGTTGAATATGTGGGCTTAAATTTTCCTTACCATTTGTAATGAGGACTGTTACATTTTTAACAGATAAAATTGAAACCTTATAAACACTGCAGCCGACTAACTGCTAACTTGTCTACTTCAACAAAAATATCTGTTAAATCAGAAGAGAAATTCAACTATGTCAATACTTGTTGTACTATGGATATTTCACGGTTAATATACAATTTATCTCTCACATATATGTGATTGTTAACTTTATCCCCACCGACCTTTTACTGTGACACGGCTTCACACATTACAATGATACGAAGAGCTTCCACGAATTTTATCCTACTACAGACTCACTGGATCGTTTTAAGAGTAAAACCAGTTGTTCTACAATTTCCTACCGTAAAGGGTTGTTACAGGGCCAAAGTGATAGTACTGATTGACAGGGATTTGACATAACAAAGAAGAAACTCTCAAATGATATAAAAGCCATTTATGACTTTAAGCTTAGAGGAAGAGAGGCCCGATACACTAAGCCTCAGAAATTACTCTCCATTTATGGAAGCTGACGTAGTGCTTCGTAAACTGCTAACTGGTGAAGATAAGGATGGGTCTTACTTATGTCCATTTATGCATTCATCACGTTTTTTAAAACACCGCCAAAATCCACCGTATTTCGTAATACCAGAAAGGTACATTCGGTTTGCAAGACAACTATGTATAAGACAGACATTTCTCTAAAACGTCCGTCGGCTCAACTCCAGAAAACAGCACACAAGCACTTATCACTACTGTTCTTAAAAAGTTTCGAGGATAGACATGGTTGCTCAATCTAGATACTTCTCTTTAACTTTGCCATAGATTTTCTGAAGACAGTAATGAAGAAAAGCCGGCAAAAGGCTTTTCGAATTTTATTATGCAGACGATACTGTTTTACTATTCGATAAAGTGTACGCTACCCCAAATGCAGCTATTGATTGAGCAGCTGGTATCAGTATGGTATCTTCTTGGGCACCCTCTAAGTGTGAAGTACGCCGCAGGATCGACAGAAACCAGCACTTACGATCACCCACATAGGTGAGGCGTTGTTAAGAAATCCGATGTGGATATCTGTGTGAGTGATGGTCGTGTGATAGACGAAATTTTTAATCGTCTACCAAAAACCAGAGCAGCAGACATCATTCTGGGTCACTTTATGGCACTGAGACATCAGCTAAGCTTTCAAAAGTCAAGTTTACAGTGCTTCGGTAAGTAGAGTCTTCCCCTACGGTTATGTGGCCTCTCCGAGCCGAAAATGTGAGATTGCTATATGCGTTCTATCACAGCCGGCTTCATGGAACTACTTACACCTAGTGGTAATGCAACATAAGCATAATATACTACGGCAAGTCTTTGTATGGGATGGAAGTCGTCAATTGATGATACCATCGGCTTTCACAGCTTGAATATGAGTTACAAAAGTTATCTCTGTGGCTTTCACTGTTTGCCAGCCATGTGATGAACTGAAAAGGCTTGGTGTCGTGAAGTGGAAGATAATCAGGATAGGTTAGCATTTATTGGTGTGTCATCACTCAGTAGGTGGATTCCGTGATATTACGCGGATCAGAATTGAAATCGATGGCGAAAATGTGCACATACAGCGATAATTCCCTTGACTTTTTACCACTTTTTATTGACATTATATCTTTACATAAATTTCTCACACCTCACACTCCTTTTTCCGTCGCCAAAAACTTAAATCGGTAAAGCACCATTCTAGGCTTCATATAATAACTCTGCAGACTTCATACAGAATAAGAACTCAGATATCACTAACAGGAACTCTGGCATCTTGGGTTGTGGATGCCTCTGTTATAGATAAGGACGGGCACATACTATCAAAGGTGGTTATTCTCCAAACCCCACTTGACTAACACAACAGAATGCCAGCATGTTACGAAAAACTTTCACGTAGCAGTATGCAAACACCGTTACACTTAGGGCAGAAAATTCTCTGGCGACTGGATTTCATTTGAGTTTTAATGTTTTCTGTTTAAATGAATCAACAACCCTGAAGGACTTCGTATGATACGTAAGTACAACAACGACAATAGTAGTACGTGATTCAATAATAGCTGATTTATTAAATGCTACATGTTGAGAATATTTCAAAATGAAAGAAATCCAGAAAAGAACTACGCATCAGTAGTCTTTCGCTTAGTTAAAATAATGCAACGATAACCGCAAAAAACACTTTACAGCACAGCAATTCCAATGCAGGTAGGTAAATAGCTACTGTTTTCGGTATCGCTACTGTTTCATTACCCAAACGAAAAAGTTTAACTTTGCTTTTAACAAGCTTTTTAAAGGAAAAGCAATTTTTAAAAACAAAATCCGTCTGTATCTCGCGTGAGGAAAACAAGTCTTATCTGGTAAAAACATAGCGAATTACGACAGCACACTGACTTCATTCTGTGCACTGAAGGTTTCAAGGCCGTGAGGAATTACTTCAATGACTAGATAAAACAATGAAAAGATCTCACGTAGCCAAACGAAAGTCCTCTTAAATTAACCCTCATTTGATATCGCATCAGGACACTAACTGAATACTTCATCTCATTCACTTTGACATAACGTGACACATATGATCAAAAAATGACGAGATGAATTTCCAATATATCCAATATCGTCATTACGGCTGGACTTATTTATCACGTAATGCTGAATTCGTTTGGATTTTTTTCCAATAATTTTTAATAAAATTGTGTTATATGTTATCTAGACTGATGGAAATTCCCATTTTTGGCTAGTTATGTTGGTGTCCGCGTCATGTGATCTGACTGCGACACACTTTTAGCATATGGGTTGCAATGATAAGTGTTTCAGGCGGACTGCATCAAAATATAGGTGTAATGAGGAAGACAGTGTTAGAGGGTAATGCCACTTACACAAATCGTTTACTCCATGTAGAAGCTGCATCTTTCGGCATAGTATCATTCAATGAAGACTTCCTGTCTCAGGATATCAATACAGGCTATTTTCGTGTGAAGAACAGTCTTTTTGACAAAATAATTCTCTCAGTGCTTGGAAATCACCTGTAAATGCTATCAGAATCGTTTGTGGGAACCTAAGTTATCATGTATTTGTACTTGTCACTTTATCTGTGGTTGGACAGGAATTATGGTGAGTTGAAAGGTTATCTCTAAGTGGATTTCATATATATTGGCACTGATTGGCGCAGTGTGCTATGGGTTATGTGAATTAAATGTACAAAAATATCTCAACTTTAATAATTTTGTGCCATTGTCTTCTTAGCTGACTGATAGGATAACAAACGAAGGTGGTTGTCACGATTATTGCAAGTACAATGCAGTGGAGAAGGCAATTACTCGTTCCACTTAATGCATTAATTCATTACACGGTATGATTATACGCATGAATCGTGGTGATTATGAGAACTGAATCTACTCAGCTTTATTATCATTATTATGAATCTATTGTATGTTATACAATTTCCACTGACAGTGTACACTTAATGCTGCAATATTTTTGATCACCAATAGTGGAGATGGATTTCTCCTGAGATTTTTATTTACACAAAGCAGTACAGATGCGGTATGACGGTTGGATTTCCTAGGTTGCATTATATGATATTATTATCCTCATCAACACAACAGGTCTGTGTATTTTATGATAGTTTAAGTGTTTCTCAATGTTGTTAACACTGTGCATAGCTGTTTAGAGTTGAGGCATGTTCAGCTTATATTTGATGAATATAGTCTCCTAAATGGGAGAATACAATTTCTGTAGGATTCACAAAACCTGGACTAGACATTACTGGGAATGTGGATTGATTTCTAAGTTACACATTTGCAATAATTCATTTCATGTAAAAGTATTCAGTATGAAGCTGATCTGCAAGTAAGATTGATGAGAGTGTAGCGGTAAATGATTCCCCAAAATTATTGACCACAACAATCACTCACCATTGGACGCTGACCACCACTGTTTAAGTCAACTTGTTTAGCTGAAGGCTTCCGGTCAAGCATCCCCGCCATTTGGTACCCCGTCGTGTCACGTGCACGATCACTAGCTAGCTAAGCGTTCGTCTGAAGGCTTGCTTTGGTCCCGAAATATATCACCTAGTTTGGACGATCAAATATTGGCTTTTGCTTTGTTGCTGGTACGCGAGAATAATTTAGAGGCTGTGTAAGACGATTCCTTCAACCCTCTAAAATAGAATGACGCCTCAACAGGTTGGATGTTTTGGAGATTGTCTTGAAATTTTTGTATAATCCTCTAATTCTTGAAAACTTATGATGTCTATTTATGTATACGGCGTCTACATAAAAATCAACTGTAGACTACAAATACATTTATCTGCATGAGATATTACTTAGTGTTAACAGAATCAGTGTATTAATAGTATATGCTAATATGTAGAATTATCCCTTGTTAACTTCATGTTATTCTAGTTCCTACATGTACTCTATTTTATCCAGGTATACGGAGATTGTCGAATATGAAATCAGCGGAAATATCATTCGGTCAGACTAACGTTACGATCCTTCATCGGAATTTTTTTGTAAATTAGTCAAATGTTTAATATACCCTTGATTTCTTCTTTCTATAGACTTTTTCGATTCCTTGCTATACTATGTGCTTTTTTAATAAGTGAATTAGAAATAATAAACGCTAAGCTTAGTTAGTGGGATGGAGATTTACAGTAGTATTATGAGACTGTTACTTTAGTCATTAATAGGATTTCGTTTCTGTTTCCTCACAATAGCACATTGTGAATGCGAAATGATTTAGCAAGTTGAATAATAACTCTGTACTGTTCGATACTCTAAATTTGCCTCATCTAGCAAGCTGCAAGTCTGTATACTGTTAAACGCTAAGTATGTAGTACAAGTAAATGTAGTAACTTAGGCTTGATTGCTACTGTATTAATCTGTTAATATGCAGTGACATCGTCAAATAGACTGTTCACTTGACAATGAGCTAAGAAAAATTTTTTATTTATTTCTAATATGCCGTTGAATCATAGGATGTTATCCAATATCCATTATTTCTATGATACACAACCGCGGTATTTAAATATCTACTTTATGGATATTAAATAACATACGCGTTTATGCTTGTAATTACCTCCAGTATTCACTATTCATTTGATGAGTGTACACTAAACAGGTATTTTCTCAGCCACCTCTCGTAAACCGTTAATGCCCAGCTCTTCCTGCACTCGGGCTCACGCTGTTCCTTGAAGCTTCTCAGAAACGCTTAGTAATAACGGACGCAAAAGCCAGAACACAGATTGGCGACTCGAGGATTCTTTATTGCAACACCAACATATAGCCAACCATAAAACTAAGTTATAAGAACAAATATTACATTAATAAATCACAATACTACTTCTGACGGCTTTGTGCGTGCTTTTTCAACAGCGATCGAAGAGACGATGACTGTCGTATTGATGCCTCCGCGAAAAATTGGGGAAGTTGGGTTTGAGAAAACAACCAGGAATTGATCGTTCAATATTCAACTACATTGACGCTCCCGCCAAAATACTGATCCATCCCTTTTTTCCATCACGACCAATGCACGTTGACTAGGATGCCATTGCGAGAACCTGGGTCACACGGACAGAGCTGAAATGGAAAACAAACAGAAAAGCCAACACACCACAAGCATACCCACAGCACAATCTCACACATCGCTGACGCCCTGCGCCTTCCAGTAAAAGGTATCCTCTTGCAACACAATCGCCACATGCAGGAATGACTCTTGCAGAATGCAACGTGACCATAGCAGCAACTCACGATAGTCTTCGCACATCCTCTTATCTACTCACTACCAGTTACCACTGCGACCGCTTGTCACGCATTCTGCCTCAGTTCTAGTAGCGGTGACGCATGCGAGCCTCAGTCGTTTACACTCTTTCTCCCCGGCGTGTCGGACCGCAGCTAACAATTATCTCCGTGTGCGTTTCATTCTCAGCAATAGCCTAGCCTCCCCGGCGTATACGACCCATCTGCTGTCCTTAACATCAATCAATTCATTCACGGATGTAGAAGACTCGAAACAACTTCAGAAGTAATCACGACGAAAATTTTAACAAAATTATGCAATAACAACAAGGTACGAAAACGACAGGTAAACACAACTGATCCAAAATACACCAAATGATATGACACACCACACGTATATACAAAGAGTACACACAAACTCGAGGATCATGTCTTGATGGAATTCCTTTGAAGAACCGTAGGACTTACAGCAGTACGCCTACATTCCTTCTCAGGTTGATGATCCAAGTGGAAGTCGTCTGGACACAAACAGAATTACCAACAGCTAGATGACAGATGATTTCAATTCAGTATATGCAATATGAACATATGTACAAAATCACACACCAAGCACATTGGACTGCTCATTGATGCGCTACCCTTTGAAGAATTGTAGGACTTACAGCAGTACGCCTACAACCCTTCTCAGGTTGACGCTCTAGGTTGGAAAATCGTCGCAGAGTTCATTTGCTGACTTCGCTCTATCAGCCATATCCTCAAATCTGAACGGAAACACGCTCATGTCATTGTATCGTAGAATATAGATGACTAACAAACACACGACATATCTGATCAACCAAGTGTAGAAACAGGGTAATTTACACCAAAGATAATAGCATTCAAATAGTAACTTGAAACTAGAAATGCCTTTATTCGTGCAAGTCAATTTAACAATTACTCCCTCGTTTACACTTAGCTTATCCTCACTAAACTGACCATTGATATTCGTCCTTTCAAACGAACTGGTACTATCATAGTCATTGCACAAGATACTTGAGTTGATGGGCGTCCTTCTCATTGTGGATGACAGCACCAACGACGACTGATTGATACCAGTTGATGAACTAAGCGGTGGATCAGATGCTGTTCTTGTTCGGCTTTCAGAAAGTCGTCTACGTGCAAGACCACCACCACTGCTGTCTTTTACTATCAGCCCCGGTTTAGCGCTAGCATCTGATGATAGGTGGGCTACATGCTGATCACTCACACTGACGGTTTGACAAGTATGCATGCTTTCTGCAACTGCATCTGCATTTAATTCTACTTCACGTTCAAGTTGTACAGAACCTTTATTTGACTTAGCAGTAGTGGGCATTCTCCCCATTTCATCATGATCAACCAAAGACAAATCTGCACTATCATGATCATTATCATCAATATTCACTTTACTGTCAATTTCATCATTTTCAAACTCTTTAATAACAGAAGTAGACAATTTTGGTTCCTCCTCACAAATCCTAAAAGGTTCTATCCCTTCACTCTGACTAGTAATACTTTGTAAACTTGTGGAGTCAGAACTGTCCTCTGAGACTGTAACTCTCCTCTATGACACTCTATTCAACAATGGCTTACTAGTTGTAACTACAGACTTCTTCACAACACCGTTATCGTCACACAATTCGGAGTCAGGCCTTGATTTCACATTTAGCTTATCACTGAACTTGCTCACTGATTCACAGCTCACCCTTTTATGCACCAATTGCAGACGTGTAAAACACAACCGTGTTTGTCTTGCATCTCACAACTTATCTGTTGAGGATGTACTAAGAAATCTGTCAATCACGTCTCATAAACCGTTAATGCCCAGCTCTCGCTACGCTAGGGCCCACGCTGTTCTTCGAAGATTTCTCAGAAACCCTTAGTTATAACGGACGCAAAAACCAAAACACTGATCTGCCGCTTTAGATTTGTTTATTGTTACACCAACATATAAAAGGAATAAGCGAACTAAGGTCTGAAAACAAATATTACAATAATAAATCGTTATATTACTTCTGACGATATTTTACTCTCCTTTCTGAACAGCGACCGATGAGACGATGACTGTCGTATTGATGCCTCCGCGAAAATCGGGGAAGTTGATTTTGAGCAAACAACCAAGAATTGATCGTTCAATCTTCAACTCCATTGACACTCCCCGGCAAAAAAGGGATCCAACCCTTTTTTCCTTCACGATCAATGCACGTTGACTTAGATGCCATTGCGAGAACCTGGGTCACACGGACAGAGCTGAAATGGAAAACAAACAGAAAAGCCAACACACCACAAGCATACCCACAGCACAATCTCACACATCGCTGACGACCTGTGCCTCCAGACAGAGACCTCCTCTTGACATCTTCCAACACAATCTCCACTTACTAGAATGACTCTTGCAGAATGCAACGTGACCATAGCAGCAACTCATTATACTCTTCAAGCATCCTCTTTTCTAATCACTATCAATTATCACTGAAATCGCTTGTCACTCATTCTGCCTCAGTTCTAGTAGCGGTGACGCATGCGAGCCTCAGTCGTTTACACTCTTTCTCCCCGGCGTGTCGGACCGCAGCTAACAATTATCTCCGTGTGCGTTTCATTCTCAGCAATAGCCTAGCCTCCCCGGCGTATACGACCCATCTGCTGTCCTTAACATCAATCAATTCATTCACGGATGTAGAAGACTCGAAACAACTTCAGAAGTAATCACGACGAAAATTTTAACAAAATTATGCAATAAAAACAAGGCACGAAAACAACGAGTAAACACAACTGATCCAAAATCACAAATTGCGAAGACACACCACACGTATACACAAACAGTACAAATAACCTCGCGGATCATGTCTTGTTGGAATTATTTTGAAGAAGTGGAGGACTTACATCAGTACGCCCACAACCCTTCACAGGTTGACGATTGTAAGTTGTGGAATGTCCAGACACAAACAAGATTAACCAACAATTACATCAATTGGAACTCACACAACTATTTAACACAAACATATGTACAATCAACACATCAAATGTTGTGGATTCTGACACGACAAACTACCCTTAAAGAACTGTAGGACTTACAGCAGTACGCCTACATTCCTTCTCAGGTTGATGATCCAAGTGGAAGTCGTCTGGACACAAACAGAATTACCAACAGCTAGATGACAGATGATTTCAATTCAGTATATGCAATATGAACATATGTACAAAATCACACACCAAGCACATTGGACTGCTCATTGATGCGCTACCCTTTGAAGAATTGTAGGACTTACAGCAGTACGCCTACAACCCTTCTCAGGTTGACGCTCTAGGTTGGAAAATCGTCGCAGAGTTCATTTGCTGACTTCGCTCTATCAGCCATATCCTCAAATCTGAACGGAAACACGCTCATGTCATATATATATATTTCTTCCTGTTTATGCAGGAACATACCAATTGTACAGGCATGGATAAGTTATTATATAAATTACACACAATTTAATGTATAATGAATTTACAGTTTGGTTGTTCTTTCTGACATTAGAGTCAGTAGGAACAGTCTGCTATAAAGTCTGTTTGTGTAGCACATAAAGAGATATAGAAATATTGTCTTCGCATTAACAAAAAACCCAGACATCAGATGAATGTAATACAGATATCTGGGAAAAATAAAGCTTGAAGTCAATTCTCTTATATAACTTTGTTGTGAGCAGCACCCTTGGCTTAAAGATTATTGATGTATTATGTTGAGATCAGTGATATATTTATTCCATTTTTTCAGCACTCTTATCGTAGTTTCATAACAGGAAAGAAATTTGATCGTGGATACGAAAACTAAATAAGGTCATGTTGGGTTGTTTTACTGCATCAAATGGTGCCGAGGTCGATTCCAGAATCCTCCATTTGCTCCATTTGTGTCTGCATGGCGGACTGTATTCGTAAGTTGAGTAAAACGTTGAAAACTGTTTGAAAACCAGTTGCTTCTTCATTTCAGATCATGAATACTCATTTACAGCATGTTCGCCAGCGTCTTCAAATGGTAGAATTGGATCGTTCATGGAATTTGAGTGGTTATGAGATAGACGGTTTGGAATTAATCCTCATTTCAGTTTAGATGCAGGGTTGTTCGACCTCGACCAGAAGATGAATAGGAGCAGCAAAATACCAGAAAGAGAAAGTATGTGAACATGAAAAAAACATTAATACATGATTCATTTATAAATGTTTATCTTAATTATACTTAAGTAAACATTTTTCTATATTGTATCTGCGTTTTCACGTATTTATGCGAAGTCTTAGAGTTTATTTAATGTCATAATGTGTATTAATAGTCTGAGCGTTTTTATTGTTCTAATGACTGATGCGTTTTAGAAATAAGTAATGGGTTCTGGTAGGGATAGTCTTTAGAATAAAACAGTTTACATAGCAAGCGTTTGAAGGTTACAATGAGGGATAGGTCCTATTTCTAAGGGTAGACTAATCCTGTATGTTCCGTACTATGTCTTTATGCATCCATGCTGCTAGTTTATTTATAGTTTAAAGATTGCTAAGGGTGTTGAAGTGCGTCTTTTAGGTGCTGTAGTAGATTAGTGCTTGATTCGTTCTAGGAGTAAATAGTTTATTAATATAATCTGTAGAGTGCAACAGTCTGTATAGAGAGCGTTTGAAGCTTGTAACCGAAGAGCAAGTTCTGATATCTAGGGGTAGGCTATTCCATATTTTAGAATACATGACTGTGAAGAAGTTTTCACGGAGTGTTGACTTAAAAGAATGAGTTGTCACTGTGGAAGTTTGGTTACGCAGATCGTAAGAACCTTCCTGTGCGAATTGTATGTCCCTGTTACCTGAGAAAGATATTTTGTGAAGGACCTTAAAGAAGAATATTAGGTTTATAATAAGTCGCCTTGTCCAAAGTGGGTCGAGTTTTAGGATCATGCACCGTGAGATGTAGTCTTTCTTACAATCGTAGCCAAGCAGTTTTGAGGTAAAATATCGTTGGATACTTTCCATCCTTAGCTTGTCACGTGTGCGAGTGCTGCTTATAATAAATGGACAGTATTCTAGTAGTGGTCTGACACATGTTTTGTACAGAATTAGCTTGGCTTCATTGTCGTGAAAGTTCCTGAGTATGCATCCTAAGAGCATCCTCGATTTTCTAGTCTGTGATGCTACTTGCTCTGAGAATGTCAAGTCACTAGAGTACCTCAGGCCTAGGTCAACGACATTTCGGAGTCTTGTTAGGTTAGCAGATTGGAGCGTTAATTTCAGGTCGATTGAGGGTGCACCGAAGCAGATCCAGCCACATTTGTTCAGATTAAATTGGAGATTCCATAGGGACGACCAAGCAGCCATTTTATCTAATTCCTTCTGTACTACATTCTCGAAGTTCCCTAAGTCATCACGTTGGAATGTATAAGCTACTTTTAGGTCATCTGCAAAGATGAATGGTTTCCCGTGCGTGAAGCAAGCGCATATGTCATTGATGTATAGTGTAAATAGGAGGGGTCCAATGACACTACCTTGTACTACACCAGAAGTGATAGGGCTAGGTTTGGAGGTTGCAGACCCGAGTTTAACTATTTGGGACCTATTGTTAAGGAATGATTTAAGCCATCCTAATAATGGGTCACGTATTCCTAAGGAGTTCAGTTTATTTGTTAGCAGTAAATGGTCAACACGGTCAAATGCCTTAGAAATGTCAAAGTAGATGACAAGTACTAGTTGCCGTCTGTCACGACTGCTGGTTACAAAATTGAAGAAGTCTAGGTGACATGTTAAACATGATCTGGATTTCAGGAATCCATGTTGGTTCGGACTTATGATGTTGCAGCTAAGCATGTGTTTGATTAGGTTATTTTTGACTAGTCTCTCCATGATTCTAGATGCTATAGGTGTGATATTGATTGGCCGGTAGTTACTGACTTCAGTTTTCGAGCCAGATTTGTGTTTAGGCATAATGAATGTAGTCTTCCATATGTCAGGGTAAGTTTGGGTTTCTAGGGACATTGTGAATATTTTAAGCAGTAGTAGAGGAATGTCAGGGCCACCATATTTATAGAAGTAAGATGATATACCGTCGGTACCGAAACCTTTTGAACTTTTGAGGGTTCTTATAGTTTGGTTAATGTCAGCGTAAGTGAATTGAACAGTGCTAATTTGGTTTGGTGTCAGTGGAGTTGGTGCCATTTTAGTAATAGGGTGTATATCGAGTAGCTGGACTGAGGGCTTAAGGTAGTTACCTGCAAACGTTTTGTTGAATAGTTCACATATGTCTGCAGAGTTAGTGCATAGCCTGCCTTTGTCTATGAGGAGAGAAATGCTGTGATTTTTGCGATTCATTCGCTTCCTTAAGATTTCTGTGAGTGCATACGCTCTAGCAGGACTGGCTACTGCGATGCGTTCTTCCTTTCTCATACGGAAATCTTGAGCTTGTGTGATGGAGCTAAGGGTTTTAAGTATTAGACCTAGAGTGCCAAAGTCGTGGTGTTTGAAGTAACTTGTTGAGAGTTTCTTCAGTTTCTTACGATCCTTTGGTTTTATGTATGACTTTCTGTGTGGGGAAACCTTTAGTGTTTGGAGTGGAATGACAGCATCTAAGCATATGTTTGAGTTATGGTAGAAGATGGTTAGGGCTCTCGATAGGTCATCAGTAGTGAAGTATTCATCCCATTTGGAGGATCTTAGCATCGATTCAACTAAGGCCCAGTTTGCCTTACTATAGTTCCTATATATTACTTGTTGTGAAGTGGAGGTATGAGATGCATTGCTACTCAGCGGAATTGGCAGTGCACACATTACTGTTTTGTGGTCGCTCCCTGGGAACTCAGAACCTACTAGCGTTGAAAGGGGGCTTATATTGTGGCAGAAGATTAAGTCTAGTACGTTGTTACCTCTTGTGGGAGTAGTGACAGTTTGTTTCCAGCCAAGTATATCCAGTGTGTCTAAGAACTTGTCAAATTTAGTTGGACCTGTGGGTATATCCCAGTTGATTTCAGGTAAGTTAAAGTCCCCACATAGGATCTTATGATCGTATTGTAAGTCGGTTAATTGCTCCAGAGTATTAATGAGTTGGGTCTCGTAATTACTAAAGGTGCCAGGTGCTCTGTAGGAGCATCCAATTAGTGCTGTTACGTTATTTAAGTGTACATTAACCCATAGAGTCTCAGGCATGTTAAGTGTACTACTTTCTAGCTGTGATACAGTAAGTTCATTCAAGAAGTACATGAGACAACCCCCTCCCTTACCACCTTCCCTGTCACACCGAAAGTGTGTGTAGTTATCTAAGCTTATTTCATCATCCAGGATGTCCGAATGACACCAAGATTCAGTGATGACAATTACAGGGGGTTTGTATATTACTGTGAGTGCTCTGAGCATCGGCAATTTATTTAGAACAGATCTAGCATTTATGAGGATTACGTAAAGATGAGAGTTGAAGTAGCATTTGAAGTATTTAAGTTCGTTAGTCAGCCCCGAATATGGTTCAGCACCCAGTAGTTCTGCTGGACATGACGATCCTATGTTAAGAGGAGTTCCAGCATCATGCTCACCTATGTCTATCGAGTTGTTGTGTGCTGTTTTCGGTGGAGAATTAGGAGTTGGAGTACTGGATTTGCTATAGACTAAGGAACTTTTATTTTTAGTTAGGTTACAGAAGTGGGTAGGGTTCTTTATTTGGCCTATACTTGTGCAAGTGTCAAGTGTGTCCAATGGATACGGGTGCACTAGACCGTTCCTGTTTTCATGCAAGGAGGGAGCCAGCACTAGTGGTTTAGGAGTGTTAACATCCCTACCAGCTGTTTTTTCAACGCTGACAGGGACGCGGGGGATAAAAAATGATTGGATCCTTGTGATGACCATGGCTTATTATTCCACCTATTGTTTGATGCTAGTTGTGTCCTTGTGTGGGTTTCGTGTGTACTGCATTTTGGGTTAGTTCCCAGCAGACTTGTACCATATATCCGGTCGAAATTTGTTTGTGTGCCATACTCTGAAGACCCTGAGTTGTTGGTAGCCGAGTTCTGACTGTTACCACTTGTACTATTTAGGGTGACATCGTTGTGACATTGGATATTAGTGTGTGCCACGGTGCGATTTAGCACGTTGTGAGTGCTAATACTATTAACCGTGGGGAGTGTGGGCTTATTTAAGCTGCCACTGTTTTTGTTGGTATGATTTAGGGGCATATTTTCCTTATCTTTACCAATGGAATTATAGCTAGGAGAGGACAAAGTCGAGTTTCGGGGGGTTTTAACTTTTTTTCTGGGGTTATTTAGTGGCATTTTAGATTCTGCGGTGATGGGTGGTATGGTTTTATTATTTATTTGGTTACAGTCTAGTGGCCTTTCGGCTGGTGTTGCACTCTGATGGGACATTTCTGTGTGTTTTGAGAGGGGTGATGCGGTGGGGTCTACTGTATCTTTCACAGGGTTGGGGATAATGGCTTGCTGCAATGTCCTATTACCTATTTCACAATTAGTCTTAGTGAGATAGTTGTGTGCGCGCCTTTCTATAACTGTTTTGTCCACCCCGACCTTTATATGTTTGTAGTTTCTGGCTTGCGATAGGGTGTGTTGGGAGTGAATGAATTTTCTGGTCTCTGCCGGTGTTTCGAACTGAAATCGAATAGGACAACACTTTTCATGTTGACTCTTCTTCAGCCTGTAGCACTTAGTCTTGGAGTTAGGCATTTTCGCTTCACTAAGTAAGATGCGCTGTACCTTTTTTATTGCCTCATTGTCCGGAACGTTGTAGACAATAGCACTCAGTTTTGCGTCGAGTCGTTTTGTTACTTCTGTGGTAACAAAGTTAATGAGGTTATCTACCTTAGTTACCGATTCTGTGTCAAGCTTGTTAAGGTTTACCGTTTTCATGAGGATAGTTAGAGGTGTCAGTTCACAGACCTGCGATCTGATATCGCTGATCTGATCTGATAATTTGGATATCTCGGTATTGGTTTCGATGTTTCCAGCATTTACTGACTTGCTGTTTTTTATTTCCCTTAACTCAGCCTTAAGTTCTCCTATAGACAACTTTAGAAGTTCTATTTCTGAAGATAGTACTGAAAAAGAGCTTGATGGCTGGAGTTTCTCCATAAGCACATAAGGTGAAGGGAGGAGTTCTGTATGAGCAGAGGGTACCGAATTTTTAGGAGTAGTGCTAATACTGGCTGTCAGTACAGTTTTATTTTCAGTTTCAGCTCGACGCTTACGGCATACACGTGAGTTATGTGACTCACTATAGCCGTTTGTTGGGGGTGTGTTGCTTGATGTAGCAATCAAGGACGTTAAATTAGACACCAGTTTTACAGGGGATTGGGTTCGCTGCTTTTTACTTTGATTAACCATAACTATTAGAAATAAGAGTTAGTGGTTACAAGTATGGAAGTGGTATAGTACTTGTGCAAGTACTACAACAAGATAAATTTTATGTAACGAATCACGTAAAAATGTAACGCAAACGTTTAACGTACCGCGATACAGAGTGTTACACCAACATATAAAAAGAATAAGTGAACTAAGGTCTGAAAACAAATATTACAATAATAAATCGTTATATTACTTCTGACGATGTTTCACTCTTCTTTCTGAACAGCGACCGATGAGACGATGACTGTCGTATTGATGCCTCCGCGAAAATTGGGGAAGTTGATTTTGAGCAAACAACCAAGAATTGATCGTTCAATCTTTAACTCTATTGACAAAACCTGTTACACTCACTAGGTCTATATGCATTACTGGACATCATGGAGCATTCTCCATATCCACCTCTCTGAGGCCTACTCGTCATCAATGATTTCATTTTGCTCTCAGACTGCTCTATTCTAGAGGTGAGATGCAATATACTGGCAAACTTGCCCATAGACAGATTGATGCTATCTTTTACCAGTTTCAGGATATCATCAAACTTTGGCTCGATACCCTCATCCTCCATACGGGAGCTTATCTTCAACCACTTCCTTTGCAGCCGAGTAGGTAGGCGTCTCGCAATTACCTCTAGGACTGAACTCGAGTTGAGGTCACTCATGCAATTCATAGAAACCAATGCATTCTTGTAAGTCATAAGATTATCCAAGAGCTCAGTAAGTGCCTTGGAGTCATCTTGAAGTTGACTGCCGTTACCTTTGACAGCTTCGTATACGTTCCTTACAGTCATTGAAGCTCTTCCAAACCTTTGACGTAATATGCTCATAGCCTCAGCGTATCCCTCATTAGGGGGCATGAGCTTACAGCACTGTATAGCTCTTGCAGCATCTCCAGTGCAATACCTCATCAAATACATCAATTTCAATTCATCACTTAATAAAAAACTACTCAGCATGATCTCAAACTCCTTTACAAGTTGTAAATAATCAGCCGGGTTTCCATCAAAACATCGTGGTTCTAATTTAGGGAGTTTGATGTTGCTATTATCCCTGAACGGCGAAACAGTAACATCAACCATGTCATACTTAACATCAGACACATCGTTACAATTAACAGACAAGTCAACATGACTTACTTTCCTGTTTGCATCCAAGACACTCTGTCCCTTCTTTGACCCAGGCATTGTTGAACTTGACTCAATTCCAAAAACGTTCCAGATATTGCTTGATCAAAGAGGACTTGACCGGCACCATGAAAGATGAACGGTGACTACGCTAAAATTCATCAACTCTCTGAATCCGCCAGAATCTCTTTCTACCATCAGAATCTGTCAGCCACGTCTCATAAACCGTTAATGCCCAGCTCTCGCTACGCTCGGGCCCACGCTGTTCATCGAAGATTTCTCAGAAACCATTAGTTATAACGGACGCAAAAACCAAAACACCGATCTGCCGTTTGATATTTCTGTATTGTTACACCAACATATAAAAGGAATAAGAGAACTAAGGTCTGTAAACAAATATTACAATAATAAATCGTTATATTACTTCTGACGATATTTTACTCTTCTTTCTGAACAGCGACCGATGAGACGATGACTGTCGTATTGATGCCTCCGCGAAAATTGGGGAAGTTGATTTTGAGCAAACAACCAAGAATTGATCGTTCAATCTTCAACTCCATTGACAAAACCTGTTACACTCACTAGGTCTATATGCATTACTGGACATCATGGAGCATTCTCCATATCCACCTCTCTGAGGCCTACTCGTCATCAATGATTTCATTTTGCTCTCAGACTGCTCTATTCTAGAGGTGAGATGCAATATACTGGCAAACTTGCCCATAGACAGATTGATGCTATCTTTTACCAGTTTCAGGATATCATCAAACTTTGGCTCGATACCCTCATCCTCCATACGGGAGCTTATCTTCAACCACTTCCTTTGCAGCCGAGTAGGTAGGCGTCTCGCAATTACCTCTAGGACTGAACTCGAGTTGAGGTCACTCATGCAATTCATAGAAACCAATGCATTCTTGTAAGTCATAAGATTATCCAAGAGCTCAGTAAGTGCCTTGGAGTCATCTTGAAGTTGACTGCCGTTACCTTTGACAGCTTCGTATACGTTCCTTACAGTCATTGAAGCTCTTCCAAACCTTTGACGTAATATGCTCATAGCCTCAGCGTATCCCTCATTAGGGGCATGAGCTTACAGCACTGTATAGCTCTTGCAGCATCTCCAGTGCAATACCTCATCAAATACATCAATTTCAATTCATCACTTAATAAAAAACTACTCAGCATGATCTCAAACTCCTTTACAAGTTGTAAATAATCAGCCGGGTTTCCATCAAAACATCGTGGTTCTAATTTAGGGAGTTTGATGTTCCTATTATCCCTGAACGGCGAAACAGTAACATCAACCATGTCATACTTAACATCAGACACATCGTTACAATTAACAGACAAGTCAACATGACTTACTTTCCTGTTTGCATCCAAGACACTCTGTCCCTTCTTTGACCCAGGCATTGTTGAACTTGACTCAATTCCAAAAACGTTCCAGATATTGCTTGATCAAAGAGGACTTGACCGGCACCATGAAAGATGAACGGTGACTACGCTAAAATTCATCAACTCTCTGAATCCGCCAGAATCTCTTTCTACCATCAGAATCTGTCAGCCACGTCTCATAAACCGTTAATGCCCAGCTCTTGCTGAACTCGGGCTCACGCTGTCCCTTGATTTTTCTCAGAAACGCTTAGTTATAACGGACGAAAATACCAAAACGCCAATTGTTGACTCGAGGATTCTTTATTGTTATACCAACATATGAATAATGTATAACTAATGTCTGTGAACAAATATTACAATAATAAATCACAATATTACTTCTGACGGTTTCCTGCTGACTTCTTTCTGAACAGCGACCGATGAGACGATGACTGTCGTATTGATGCCTCCGCGAAAATTGGGGAGGTTGGTTTTGAGCAAACAACCGTGAATTGATCGTTCAATCTTGAATTACATTGACACTGGTGATTCTAGTAGAGGCTCGGATAATGACCCATAAGGATCTGAAACTACCTGCAGCTGCCACGCGACGATGTGCCGTAGAATTTTAAGTCGTATCTCTCTGTGACAGCTAAATCCGAATGAGTCCGAACTAATGAGAGTGTAATTCCCTCTAGTTTGTAGGACCTGATGCTTGCTTGTCTGATTCGCACTGTTGCATATTTCTTCGCACTGATTGGGGACATCCATTCCCTGGACCACTTTGACAATTTGTTGAGGTCCCTTTGTAAAATGAGCGTATCACTTTTCCCCTTCAGCTCTCTCAGAATTTTTCAGTCACCTGCCTATAGGATTATGGGGAAATCGGTGAGCAGAGACAACTAACTGATATACAAAATAAATAGGATGGGCCCGAGTACCCTCTGCCTTCCACATTTGGGGAATTCCCTAAGTCACTTTAGTAACCTGCCCTTGATACCAAGACTTTCCAACTTCATAACTAGTCCTTTGTGAGGAACTTTATCAGAGGCTTTGCTGAAGTCTATGAAGACGACGTTACGAGTCTTCTGTTGTCCCCTGATTTGATCCAGCCTACTCTCGCAGTGAAGAGATTTGAAAGGCATAATAGGTTACTTCAGAAGCCGTGCTGCCAATGTAGTTGAAGACTGAACGATCAATTCATGGTTGCTTGCTCAAACTCAACTCCTCCATATTTTTGGTGGGTCATCAATCCGACAGTCATCGTTTCATCGTTCGCTGTTCAAAGGAGGATAAAACACTATCAGAAGTATTATCATGATTTATAATTATAACATTTATTCTTAGACCTTGTGTAATAACTCTATTGTTGGTTACATGTTGGCGTAAGATTAAGGGATTCTTGAGTCGCCAATCAGTGTTCTGGTTTTCGCGTTGGTTAATACAAAGTGTTTCTGAAAGTCTTCGAGGGACGGCGTGAGGTCCAGCGTAGTAGAACCTGGACATTGACAGTTTGTGATAGTGTTTGGGTTGTTTCCGTTCGCCTTTCCTGGTGCCTGCCAGTCTTCTTTGAACAGGGATTATCTGGAATTTTTCTGGAATTTCGGTCAAGTTCAATGATACCTGGGTCAAAGAAGGGACAAAGCGTCTTCGAACAAGCGGGAAAGTAAGTAATGTTGATTCGTCTGTTACATGTAACGATGTGTGTGTGATGTTAAGCATGATAAGTTTGATGTTAATGTTTCGCCTTCTAGGGATTATAGGAATATTAAGCTTCCTAAATATGAGCCTCGGTGTTTCGACGGAAACCCAGCTGACTATCCACAGTTTGTATAGGAGTTTGAAGTCATGTTGGGTAAGCTTGCATTAAATGACGAAATGAAGCTGATGTATTTGATGAGGTACTGCAGTGGAGTTGCTTCGAGAGCTATACAGTGCTTTAATTTCATGCTGCCAAAAGAAGGATATACTGAGGACATGAAGATTGTCAGCAAAGTCTCATAAACCGTTAATGCCCAGCTCTCGCTACGCTCGGGCCCACGCTGTTCTTAGAAGATTTCTCAGAAACGCTTAGTTATAACGGACGCAAAAACCAAAACACCGATCTGCCGTTTGATATTTCTGTATTGTTACACCAACATATAAAAGGAATAAGCGAACTAAGCAAACTAAGGTCTGTAAACAAATATTACAATAATAAATCGTTATGTTACTTCTGACGATGTTTCAATCTTCTTTCTGAACAGCGACCGATGAGACGATGACTGTCGTATTGATGCTTCCGCGAAAATCGAGGAAGTTGATTTTGAGCAAACAACCAAGAATTGATCGTTCAATCTTCAACTCCATTGACAAAGATATTACTTCACACCTGATATCTATGGTCGGCCTGCAAAATTTGGGCTACCGATATCCATGCTGAAAACTCCATACTTGTACCAAAAATACGGTGTGGAATCGAGCTGTAATAAAAAAATTAAAAAACATTTGGAAAGTCATTTATGATATCCCGTAGCATTTTTGAGACTGTCAAAGTTAATGGGGCACATTTAAGGGATAACCTCGAGGAACTCGCAGAGTTCTTGGATAATTTGATGGTATACAGAAATACTGTCGTTTATCTTAACAATATGGATGACTTAAACTCAAGTTCGGTGGTTAAGACAGTCGTGAAGAAATTACAGGTTCGTCTACAAAGGAAGTTCATAAGGGTTAGTTCGCGTCTAGAGGGAGATGGTTTGGAGCCTGAATCCGATGATATTG